TCTTTTCATTACTTTAGTCCATTCAGTTGCTTGTTTCCTATTGCTTCTTTCAATGTTAGTTGTGTTGTCAGATACAATCATACAATCTTAATTACTAAATATTAATATATTTGCAGTATTGATGAACAGTTTTCATATATATTATAGTTTCCGTAAAACAATGTTACCTACTGAATTGAATACTGCGAAGACAGAAAAATAAGTCAGATTTATATTAAACTATGTCATCTGAAGCCCTGCTCATCTTCCAGAAGTTTCTAGAGTATAGGAAAACAGACCTTCCTGATGGTCCACTTACTCCCTTCTCTTTAACATCTAGTGACGGTTGATCCACCTACTACCTACAATCACCAATGATTCCATCAAATTTCCAACCCCTCTTCGGTTCTAGATAGTTGTAAAAAACCCCTTTCCCCCCCCCAATATGCCCAATTAGCACAATAGACTCTTGATGTTACCATTTTACTTTTAATTTTCTATAGTACTTAGTTCTAGTATTTTAAAAAGCCTTCCAAAGACATAAGTGTAATATGTAACATCAATGACAAGTCAAACAATGGAAACAGAAAAACTCTTTTTTTTTTTTTTTTTAAAAATCTTTGCACTGCAATTTTTGGGGTGTGGGTGTGCCCAGATGGGAGGAATGTGTGTGATTGCACGCATCTTCTCACAACCATGCTAAATGTGCCCAAGTTCCCTGCCTGGAGGATCTCCTGATCAGTATGAAATGGTAGGAGTCCAGAAATCCGCTCAGGTGATGTTGGACCATATGCTCATTTACACTAAGCCTGTATTACATCTCTGGCACTATTAAGGTTCCTTAGATTTGCACCCACGTTAAGGTGCCTTTACATTATCATATAAATGAAAATCAGAAACACTGGGGTTCAGGAGTAAGCTACTCCAGGTCTTGGGTTGTTGCATAGAGGTAATTGTACTGCTAAGATGAAAGGGGCACTGCAGGGTGGATTCCAGCACAGATCTTCCTGTTCAGAACAAAATTCAAGACATTGTTTGCCTGGCAGGGAGACATCACCAGTTTGAAAATGAGGATTTACAAATCACAGTTCAGATCAGACTCAGCATTAGGTCTTTTGGCTGCAACTATGGTAACAGTACCTATGGCATGTGTCTGCATGGGGAAACCTCAGTGGACTTTGAGATAGCATTGGAATTCTTGCATTCCTTGTGAACAACTGATGATCTATGGGCCTCTCTGCCTGTGGTCAATCTCCAGCTAGGAATGAACTTCCAAGCACCACCCATTCAAATTGTTGTAACTGCAGATATGCTCAGTTTGTGATGGGGATCTTGCAGGATCTCAGTTATCTATCCATCTCCCCTCAAAGTTTAGGGGATTTGCTTTTGGGTGTGTGGTGTTTTTCCCCCCTTTCCTTTTCCTTTACATTTGTAGTACATAAGTGAATGTAATGCTTTTACTCCTCCTCTCCCTCCACCCCCCAAAAAGGCACTGACTATTGAGGGCCCCAGTGGGTTGTACTACTCAAACGATCAGTTTGAAATGTTCCACTTCATGAAGAAGGGGGGGGGGAATAGGGGTTCAGCCCTTAATAACTATAGCTTTGGAAGCTATTAGCTAGTTTTGGGTTGGAGGCTTGAGATCCAAGAGTGAGAATCTTATGAGATGATAGGCCAAATTCACGGGTAATGTGTAATTTAAATTCCCTTGCATTTAAACCCCATTAGAACTACTTACACCTACACATCTATCTAAAGTAATGTAATTTATGTCAAGGGATGCCAGAAAAAGGTGCAAGTTAAAGTAGAGCGGCCCTTTAGTTTTACACATTTAATACACCGTTTTCTGGCTCCTCAGTATATACGTTGCACCAATTTAGACAGCAGTAGAGTGGGCATAAATAGTTTTCAGGGGGTCTGAGTTGAATTCCACTTAGATTAATTTAAATATGCTGACTTTCACCCTGTGAATCTAAAGGAGTCTGAGTTGGTGTATTGTCTACGATGATACACTTTCTTTTGGCCCCCAAAAGAATCACACCAACTTTGACTACTTCTAGACTGAGGCTTGCTTAGGTTTCCCTCTGAATTTGGCCTGCTATCTTCAAAGAAGCAGAATTACAAGGTAAGCAAGTTCCCCTTTCCAGAAGATCAAATTCTTCCCTTTTTGTTTTTATATGTGATTGGCAAATAGAATATTCCAGGATTTTATAAAAGGTTTGAAACGTTGTAGGGAATATGAATTCTGTCATGTCTGACATTAGGATTGTCTTATTAAACAGCCTGGCTGCCATTGCCCAAAATGTTTTGGGGGGTATAATTGGAGAGAGTAGAATAACTAGTCAAACATTTTTCAGGTGTATCTTGTCTTAAATGTAGAGGAAAAAAATTATAGACATAGTTCCTTTTTCTATGTAAGCTTGTAGATAGGAAGCAAGGGAGGGGGTGGGAAACCTTTATTACTAGTGAACATCGGTTAATATGCAAGCCTCAGCTGTATTAATGTGAGCAAGGAGGTGCTGCTTTGGTTGCATGCCTCACTGAAGAAAAAGCTTCTGTGTCTCTGTAAGTGTGATGCATAGCCCCTTCATTCTTTGATCCTAAAACAAAAACCATCCTTCTTTGAAAAAAGGAAAATTATTTAAAAACCCATGTCTTTATTTTACAAAACAAAAGCAAATTCAAAGCTGTTGCTAACCAAATTGCAGTGTGTGTGTAAAATGAAATGATTTTATATAAAGCTTGTGATTTGATTAAGATAGCTATGAAACAGCACAATGTTGGGTTTTGAGATTGGCATTTTTTTAAGTGATTGACCCAGCCTTTAATGTGTAGTTACTACAGTTTCTTTTGGATAAATGCTATAGAAGGTTTTCTTCACACTTGACGTGTTAGTAAGATACCTCTCTTGTAGTGATTTAGATTTTAATTTACATTGTCATTTTTCTTCAAATGAAATAGCTTCCCATCAGGCCAAGAAAATAGAAATTACTTATCTGAGACCCTAGAACAGCTTGGTATTGGTTCTATACACTTTTATTTTTGTCTCAGACTGAATAATTTGTCCTTTTGATGCAGTTCCTGTCTATTTAGCAGTAGCTTCCTCATAGATTTGCATAATAGTGCATTGCATTTACACAAGGCTTTAACTAGTCACAACATATTAATCCTCACAATACACCTGTGAGGGAGATAAGTATTGTACCCATTTTTATAGATGGGGAAACGGAGACAGAGGTTGAGACTTGCCCAAAGCCACTCAAGTGATTGTCAGAGCCCGGGGGCTGGAGGGGGTGTCCTCCCTCCCTCTCCAGTATTCATTCCATAAACCAGGATGTGTCTCAGTGCGTAATAAAAAGTGAAGTTCCTATATCATAAACTATTCTGAGTTGTAATTGGACATTTTGTTGTTACTAAATACTAAAAGGACTTGGTCCATTTACAGGCCTTTGAATCAGAGTTCACTATTGCTCAGTTTAGAGTGAAAATAGACTGGTATCTCTCTCTCTTTTTGTATTCTCCCCCACCCCAATCCTGCTTCTCTTGTACTAGTATTTATTCATTGAGAGCTGGTGCATTTGATGTTGAACTAACTTAACATGGTTCCTTCTCCAAAAAGCCTACAATAATAGTCTGCAGACACACACAGTATATCACACAAGGGAGAAAAGGTGGAAAAGGATGGTGTGAAACTATTGAAAACAGCAGTTTGAGAAAGATGGGTACAGAGATGGGGCCCTTGTACATACCCTGGAGTACGATATTGGAGACCTATGTAAGATCTGTTTCATTAGAGTATAGAGGGAAGCAGAATTGTAGGGGATCCAAGAAGTTGAGGTAATGGCTATAGATGTCACACCTGATAAACTTCAGGGCAAAGGGGAGGAAAGCGGCAGTGCTTTATGCAAATAGGGTCAAGAAAAGTATTTAGGGCTCAGGACACCAGCGTGTCTGAAAAGTGAGGATGGTGTCAGGAGTAGGAGATGATGAGGTCTAGTAGACTGGCTGAAGAGCTGCAAATTTTCAGCTCCACCCATAGGGGTGAAGGAGGAAAGACTTTTTGTGTTGGAAAGGTATGAGGAGAATCATGTGACATTTAGGGTGGTGCTCAGAACATTGCAAGAAGGATATTTAAATAACTCTTCACTCTCACATGTCATTAAAACATTTAGTTCTTCCCCCACCATGTCTCTTCGGTGACCTCTGCATATTTCTACTGTGCCCCATCTTGCTGTACCCAGAGAGCTTCAATTCTTGCTAAGAATTTTAGTTTAGATGTTTTCAGAGAGTTTGAACTAAAACTTGATCTTAGTTATCTGTACTGCTGCCATCCATCAATTGCACTTTATTCATATTCTGAAGAGTGCAAAAAAAAAAAAAAAATCACTTGAACTCTGTGGTGTTTCTCAGAGGATAACTTAATGACCAAATGGATTTTTCTGAAAGCTCAGGGTTAAGACTGGCACCAGTCATAGGCCTCTCCTTTTTTCATTTAAACTGGAGTCAAAATGAAATGTTTTTACAGCAGCCATGCACAATCTTAATTATAGCTGGGTGACAAAATCACTAATATTCACCTTTTTCATTGGATGTTTGTAATAAATGGCTGCTATGTATATAACCTGGCCTTGTCACATCACAGGTATCTCTTTAAAGCAGTCTAATTTGGTAGTGAGTTACACATAAGTAATTATGAGCTTTATTGATCATTTCTGCATAGTATGGGCTAGCTACACAAAATAGACTAGACTCTTGGAGTCCTGTCCAGAATGCAATGAGAATAATGTACGCTTGAGATGGATTCTCTAAGTGAGGCATTCTCTTCTTTGATTTCCCCATAGTCCTTCTGAGGAATCTAGCAGGAATCTGTTTAATTAACCCCCTTTTAAGAACTTTTCACCTTTGTCCTACTTTCAATAGATGTCATTTGTTTTGATGGGTAAACTCCATATCTTTTCAACAGAAAATAGTTTTCTGTTAGTGTCACTGACTGTATTTTTTTTTGTTTTGTTTCTTCCTAGACTGACTGCATTGCCATGGAAACCATTGTTAGAAGAGGCAGCTTTTCTACTGGTACCTCCAGAAACTGTGTGGTGCTTTTGGAAGCAGAGCTCAACTCCAGCCAGCTACTTTCACTTCCACCAGCACAGACATACACACATCATTGTAATGATTTTTGCTTAGATATCAGCTGTCTACAGTTGAGTTAATTTGAATTAAGATTTTTCATAGCTGTGTTTTGGTGATGGAATTTGTTTTTCCGCAGCACATTTGTTTGAGAAGCATTGGGAATGCTGCAGAGGGGATTCCTACAACTTCCTTTTTACTTCTCTCTGCCTCTCCCCCTAATTTGTTTTTATTTATATTGAGAAGTCAAAGCTGGTGGCTGGTAATCTATTTAATATGGGTTTTGTTTCTCTGGTACGTTAGCTTAAACATGTATTGCTTAGAAATATTTTGGCAGGTCAATTTTTTTTTTTTTTTTTTTGAGGGGGCTGGGAGAGAACTATGTAACTGAACCTAAATCTGTGATGGACAGACCTCTTTATTATATTTTGCTTTATAGTATAGGAGGTAGTTTTTGATCACAGAGCTTAGTATTTTTAATCGTATGTCAGAGCTTAAACTGAAGTTTGTTGCTCAGAATTCTGATATGTATAAGGTAAGATTAAAGGGCTGGTTGTCTTGTTGATTACACTTAAATTATCCCTGCCCATTTGTTTATGAACATGTATAAAATATAAATCAAGGTTTCTATTCATGCATTCAAATGGGAAAGTGCAGGGTCTTCTACAACTTTGACTTCTGCTTTACAATATTGATGTGTGCTGTAGCTTTTTAAAGAGAAACCACCCTAACTGATCTTTTTTTTATCCAAAACCCTCTTATAATTTGGGGCCTTTTTTTTTTTTTTTTTTTTTTTTTTTTGCATAATGGGAAAGTAAATACTTGGGTTATCACTTAATGCATTCTGCCTAAAGAAAAATTGCAAACAATGACTATTTCAAATTAAAAATAAATTGTGGAAAATTAGAGCTAGGTGCATCACTCTTACTGATTTTGGTTCAAATCAGTTTAGGCTTTTAACACTGCTATGACCTTTAAAAGCATGACACTAGTTGTTGGTACATACAATGTATAATAATAAAAGGCACTGACTTGATAAGGGGTTTAAAAGTGGTACACAAATCCTCATGCTGTACTGCACCACACAGCTGGTAATCCTCTACATTGTATATTGTACAAGTGTTTTGTAGGGCTGCCTCACTTGACATACAACCTTTAAAATACTAGTACAGTTTGTATAACAAATTAGATGCTGTCAGTTTTGATGTTGAGTGATGTGTACCTAAATCTATTTTTGAGTAGTCTTAAAATGTACATGTCACAAAATTATAAAGACCTTTCTGTAAACTTAGTATCAGTTTACAAAGTAACAGGAAAGAAATACTTGCTGCAGAGTTTAAAAGCACAGATGTGTTCTTGAATCTGGAAGAGAAGTTAGTCAGTACAGTTACTAGTTGCTGCTAAACATACTCTGATAATTCATTTAAAAATATTACCACTTCTATAGACCATGATACTGTCTTGCCATACAGTTTTTGTTTGGGCGTAGTAAATTAATAAGGCAATATGTAGACAGCCATTTTAAAGCTTTTTTTTTTTTTTTTTCAAATTAATTGAAATTTGAATGATAGTTCAGAACATCTAATGGGAAAAGAAAAGGTTGTGTTGAAAAAATTGAACATGTTACATACCTTATTTACATATTAGGTCCTGAGGCTGCCATTGTACAATATACAGCACTGATTTAATAAATGCTGAATAAATAACTAAATGGGTAACCTCAAATATAGTGGTACAAATACTAACAGGTACAGCATAATAAATATGCAATCTTTTTGAATCTTAGTTTACAGCCACTAATTTATTCAGTATTGTGCTGGAAGAACACTTTCAGAATATGTAAAACATATCACTACGTATACTACCTTCCAGCTACCCGTTTATGCTGCTGTATAGTACAAAAATACCAATGATGGAACAATGTTTGTCCTGTAAATTTAATTTGATATTGGACAGTTATTGTCTGTACAAACTAAAACATATATGGTTGAAACTGTTCATTATATTTGCTATTTCTGCTTCAGACCTGTTTAAAAGTTGAGCTGATTGATCTGGCTTTGTCTTCCATTGTAAATATTGTTACATTGTTTTCTTTGTAAAACATATCGCATTTGCGGTTTTGGGAGACTGGCTTGAAGCTCTGTATAGTGTTTATATTTATCTGACTTGGCTTTCCATAGAGCTACTTGCAGTAAATGTGTTCATGTAGCTTCTGCTGTCTGGCTCTCTTATTTTTAAGCAAACCTGTTTTATTGGCTGAATTGTATTTCTCCTCCTCAGTATCTTTTTCTTTCAAGGGGTGTGGTCATCTGGTCATCACAGGGCTATTTATACAGTGCTGAAGAGTGGATTTAACCAGTTTTACAGGAGAACATCTCAGACCACCAGTTATGAAACATAATCTTCTCTAACGCTGGAAAAATGACTTAAATGTGAATGGTTACGCTAAAGCACCCAGAACTTGATATTGTAGACTTCTGTGCTCCTTGATAGACGTGTCTATTAGTAATGGGGACATAGTCGTGTCCCCCAGGGGGCTGTACTGGGACCAGTGCAATTCAACATATTCATAAATGATCTGGAAAAAGGTGTAAACAGTGATGTGGCAAAATTTGCCAATACAAAATTACTTAAAATAATCCAAAACAGACTGCGAAAAGTTAAAAGGGGCTCTCCTAAAACTGGGTGACTGGGCAACAAAATGACAGAGGAAATCAGTGTTGATAAATGTAAAGTAATGCACATTGGAAAACATAATCCCAACTACACATCCAAAATGATGGGGTCTAAATTAGCTGTTGCCACTCAAAGAGATCTTGGAGTCGTCATGGATAGTTCCTCTGAAAACATCCACTCAGTGTGCAGCGTCAGTCAGAAAAGCTAACAGCCGGAGCTTGTGGTGCCAGACAGCTACCACAGACCCTGCAAGGCAGCCAGGTCCCCCGGAGCTCACAGGGCCAGCCGGCTGCCCTCGACCCGACACACAGAGCAGGCCAGCTGCTTGCCCTGGTCCTCCACCACATGGCTGCCCTGGACCCCTGGGGCTGATGGGGAGCCCTGACCCCGCAGGGCCGGCTGGAAGCACGACCTCCCCATACTAGGTCTTGGGGGAGCCTGGACCCCTTCCCCCAAGGACCACCTGCGGCCTTTAGCGCACAGCTGTGTGCTAATTGGGCCACGGGTTGAGAACGGCTGTTCTGCAACATACGATGGAATTTTCAGAAATGTCATGGAAAGTGGGCTAGCTTTCTTTAGCACCTGGTTGTACAAAGCAACCACTAGTGTCACTGCTGATTTGCTACAGGTTATTTTTTACAGTGAAGACAGCTAAATGAGGATTTTGAAGTAATTTGATACTACACCTAATTTGATTCTTTCTTAAATTTCCTATCCCTGCATATATGTACTGAAGCAAGAACTTAGTTTAATATAGCGCATATATTGCTGAACTCATTAATCAGACGCTAAATTTCTTATCTTTCACCATGAATGTGACTTCTAAAAGTAACATTTCTAAGATCAGGGTCTGTAACTGCAGAACTTTTTTAAATACTCAATTCAAGTCATACTTCCTTTGTTTAAAATATTAATGCATTAAACTAAACAGCAGCTCTGAAAGTAAGTTTAAGTTGTTCTAACCCAGTTTTTGTAAGACAATGATTATCCTAACTAGGCTCCTTATTCAGAGCCTCATTTTATAGCAAGCAGCCTATGTTGTGGAAGAAAAAGAAAACAGTACTTTTAGTATGTGGCAGAAGCAGTCATACCAAAAGTAAACAAACAGTGAAAATTATCCAAATAGCATGAAGACTGTTGCAACAGTCCCTTACAAAGTAACTGCTTTAGGTACCCTCATTGGACCTGAACTGTGTTAAATGCTTTAGTCTTTCAAGGACCAACCCTCGGGCTGGGTAGTAGACCAAACTATCAGCTTTGAAACAAGGGGAAGTCCTCGATCAAAACCAGAAGGCCGTTAGTCACTACTTTCATATCAAGGAGTGGAAGACTAAGCTACATATTTTAAAAATGGTTACACTTTTGCAAAGAAAAAAGTTGCCTTTTGGTTGGAAGATTCTTTTGAGCAGCTCTAGTACACATCCAGCATCTCATAGAAATGTTACAGAAATAGTTAAGTGAAGAGCATACTTAGTGTGGCAGGATACATCATGTACAGTTGGTAGAAAAATGGTGACGTACAGAACAACCTTAAAATTCCCATATTTGGCAATTCTCTGTGCTTATTTTCTGCCTATGTGACGTCTCCAGGTTTTGGAAAGAAAAAAGGTGGCCTTCAAATTCCAGTTAATCGTGCTTGATAGACTAGAGAAACCTATGTCTATATCCTCTCCCCTCTTTTTTCCATTAACAATAGATGGGGCCTTTAAACAATAGTTTCTTCTTCCCTCAATTGCAACAAACCATAAAAGAACATCTCAGAGGGGGCCAGGAACTCGTGGCTAATTGTAGTATAGGTTTCAGAGCTCAGAACATCTTACTAGTATAGTAAGTGTGTTGGAAAGCCCCAGTTCAGTCATGGCAAACCACCCCCTCAACTAGTATTTTATGTATACCTAGTTCAGATATGTTTTCCCTTGTGACAGTATCAAGTTAATCTAAATTCTTATCTTTAAAGGGGAGGGACAGAGAGTAGCGAACCCACAGAATGCTCCAGTTTAACATCTGTGCCCTGCACTTCCTATACTGCACTTCTGCTACAAGCCGCAAGGGTTACTTTTAGGACTAATAGCATAGTTTGATTTACCTAGCAGTTAATCCTTATCCCTCTGCCAATTGTAGTGGTTTTATGATGTGATCACTAGTTTGCTACAAATGACCGATTTCATCACCCATCCATCACATTCCAAGTTTTATACGTACTGATCTTATGTTTTGAAAGGCTCTATATTTCATTACTGCTCTTCTGAGCTGATCACTACTCCTGCCTTTCCTTAGCAACACTGTCCTGCTTTCTGTCAATAAAACACTCCTGAAGACTAGATTATCACAGTCTTTCTTGCACAATTCCTGGCTTGTGGTTGCAGTGGAGGTAGCCATAGCAGCAACAGTATTACAGCCCCAGCCACAGGGGTTGTGTAAGGTGTAAACCATAGGTTGCTGCTGGGAAAGATCTGTGTTACAACTAGATATTGCTCAACGTAGAAGAGTTCTGAACCTAGCAAAATTTTCCCTCACTGGTGCCCCTCAAAAGAGACTTCTCTACAATGTGGGCAGCACAATGACTCATGCTACTAGCATGCATATTAGGAAATACCATACAATTGAAATAAACACATATAAAAGGTAATGCTCTTCTGAGATCTCAGATCTTTTGGACACATTGACCTATGAGCATTTTGACATTTGTAAGGTTAAAAGAGGAAATTTTTTTAAAGTTGTACCTTTAAAAAAATAGAATAAAATTGATGAAACCCTACAATTAGACTGTAGTAGCCTTTGGTGTAGGGGATGTTAGTTTTCACTGGTTACAGCTCTAGAAGTCATTAAATCCACAGTCCATATATACTGTTCTAGTCCATCCTAAATCAAATGGTTCTGAAATATTTCACTTTGAAGAATTTCAGAGAACCGTACCATCAAAGTCTGATGTATAAATCAATCTGACTCCATACCCACAAAAAAGCCTAAAGGTACAGTCGGCCAATATACGGCTTTGGTACAAGGATTAACACCGGAATCTCATTACGAGGAAAGGCAGTAAGGAGAGAGGCCCATGTGCAACTTTGACACTTAAGAGTACAACAGAGTGGCAGGGACTAGCCTCCCTCTGTTAGTGTTTTAAAGATTTACATATTAGTATTATATAAGTTATACTTTAGCAGGTCAGCCTAGTTTGCAGCAATTCTATTATAAAGTTAGACACCAATTCAATCCATTTGGCAAACTGCTTGCAGTACACCTATAAAAGCAGGTGAGACAAATATTGAGCAAAGAAAGTTAATCTACATCCTCCATATTTTGATATGTTTTATCTTATTAAAACCATTGCTGACGTAGGCACTCTTAACTGTTCTTAAATTATCTTTGAAAGCCTATAGTGCCCTCATGTGGTTAACACACAAATCTTATCCATGTACAATTTGTATAAAGGATCATCTGTCTCCTAATCCATTTTCCACATAATTACTACTGAAGGTAAACTAGGAATAGGCCAGGCTCTATAGCTAACATAACTGCTTTATTTACAAGACTGAATTACTTGAGAAAAACAATTACATTAAATGCTCTCATGGTGGAGTTGTAGTATTTAAATCCAAGAGTACCTTTAGGCTGCAATTTGGGTTTGAGGCCATTCTAAGGCTTGAGCACAGGTTTGGCAGCTCCAAATCTAAATACACGTTTTCACAAGATTTTGGCCACATCTGACCTGAAAAGTGGGTCCTTTTGGATTCTGAAACCAACCTGGGGGGAAAAAATGATAGAGGCAGTTTTGGCAGTGTGGATTTGTCTCCAAACCCCCTGCAGGTCAAAGGATTGTTCCATGTGTAATATTAAAAATCTGCAGAACAGAAGGTTTTGCCAGTTGTAGTTATATTCCGGTACACTCAGAGGCCCCAGCCAGGATTGAGCACCTCTTGTAGGTGTTGCACGTACATAGAGTGAGAGAGAGCCTCTGTCCAAAGAGCTTACGAACTAGGTGCACAAGACAAAAGATGTGGAAAAAAAGAATCATCCCCATTTTACAGATGAGAAATTGAGGCCCAGAAAGATTAAGGGACTTGCCTAAGGTAACACAGGGAGTAGTATATGGCTGAGGTGGGAATTGAACGAAGAACTCCCAGATCTTAGCCTAATGCTGTAACTACAAGACCATCTTCCCTTTCTAGACTTTTGTTTCTTAACAGAGCAATATTGAGAACAGTTTGCTGGAAACATCACCATGGATTTTATTAAGATCCAAGTGCTTTTCTGTATGACAGCAGCAACATGCAACATGGGATCGGGCAGCCCATGCACAGGAGAGGCAGCCATGCAGCAGCATCCAGCAGTGTGCAGCTGCCCCACATCCCTCCATTTTATTTTGGTTACCTAGCAGTTATGTGATAGTAACGGATTTGACATACTCACAGCGCAAGGAATCAAGGAATAGCTGTTCTATGCATTGTTACACTAGGGACTATAATTTATACTGAAAATTGCTGCATAATTTATTGCTGCTCTAGTATTCCCTGGGACGTTTACATGCTCCAGAGGATGCACGAGACCATAACACAGAATATAGCAACACTAGCAGGATCCTAGGAAGAGCATGCATGGTCCAACAGCCACAGGAAATGTCATTGTGGAAACCAAGGCTCCATAATGTAGGAAGGACCCGCTTTTCATCCGTCTCAAGTTCTTTTATGGGGGAACCTACCACTCTGCCTGTGCTGTACTGCAACACAACTGTGATCAGTACAAGTACTCAAGCTGTATTGAGATAAATAATCTCAATGTAATGTGCCAGGCCCAAAAGGTCAAGGCCCATCTATTTAACCCTAGTTCTTGGGGAGGTAGCGATAAGTCAGGGGCTGGTGTTTATGGTAAGAGGGACAGGAGTTGGGGTTTGATGTCATCTTTAGTTAATGGTTTTCTGGTTTGGAGTTAGCAGCAGCTGGTTCAGTTTTGTTTCTTTACATGTAAGATCAACCACATAAAATAAGTAGAAGGGAATGTTTGGTTGTTTTGTTCACTCTCTACCGTCATGGATTTGCAGGCAACTCACAAAAGGGTAGACATGAGCCTTGTGGCTGTATTAGAGGCCCAATACCCCAATGTTATACACATATAAACAAAGCATGAGGCGTACATAGACTACTTTAACATTTAAAAACACACCAAGATGACACTATTATATTTTAGAGTAAACCTGTGTATAATTGCCATTTTCATATTTACACAAATGCTGTTAATCCTCCACTTATCTCATTTTATTAACCTTTGGCACCTCGCCTAGTAACTCATTTCTATGTCTCAGTTTTCAGCAGGGATATATATATATATATATATATTTTTTTTTTTGAGTGGCTGCAAGCCTAATGTATAGCTGGCATCAGAAATTCAGAGGCAGAACAGCCATTAGCCAGATGTCACTGATAATTAGTTAGCATTACTCAAAATAAGATGAAATATACTTCACTTTTATAAAGCAATACATTAATTCTCAGGCTACGTTTGTCCTAATGAATGGTGAAGATGGGAAAATACAATGAATATCTCAAGGAAGGCTGATCACCTGGAAAACGCACAGTCTCACTTCCTTTGTTGGGGAGTGCTAAAAGCTTATACATAAATGCAAGAAATAGAATTGACCACAGAAATCAAACAAGCACAAAGTTCTGTGTACAAAATGTAATAATTTCTTTGCAACTATTGCAAAACGTGACAATCTAGGCCAGATACAGTAGGATTCTTATATACTGATGCAAGAAACAAGGAGCTCTATGACCTTTCACGGCCTTTATTGAATTATACACACACAAAAACTGTTGCCTTGTATAAATCCATCATGGATGTGTATAATTCACATAAGAATGATTAGAGGATACATTTATAAATATGAAAAATCAGTTTTAGCCAGTTTTTGCTTTATTTCAGTTTTTTCAGAGTGTACAGCTATTCTGGATAATATACATGATACCACTTCGGAGCAAAGAAAGTTTTTGTAAGCATAATCTTAAATGCTTTGGCAATTTGATATTTCCAAGGGGTATTTTTTGCTGAAGCAAACTGGTTACTACTAAATCATGAATATGACTTGTTTTTATTTAAAAAAAAAAAAAAAGACATTGGATATGGCTAATCATTTCACATATTTTCACAGAATAAAAAAATCCTTTTAAAATGGTTTGGATTTCTAAGCACAAATAACACCATCGATAGCATGGTGTAAGTATAAACATTTAAAACCCTGATCAAAATGACTAGAGAAGTATTGTACATTCCCCAAATAAAGTCAGATTGGAACTTGAGGGAGGAAACAAAACTTTAAAAATCAGTAGTAGTTTGGTGTAAGAGGTATAGATTCTCTCCATTGCCCTTGATTTTATATAAAATACTGCTGTATATTTAAACTTGTTTTTAATACACTTTTTGTGAAGAGTGATTTTAGGCTGATTTGTGTCTAAATAATTGAAGGTTTGAATTAAAAAGGTGTTTACACAATATACACATTTCATTACTTACAAAGAGAAATAAGCTTAACATTTCATATTAAAAACCTGGGATACAGTAGGGTTAGTAGCACCATGAAAAAGTTTTTCAGAACTGCAGTCTTGTTATTTTAAACATACTCAGTGCGTTGTATTTTGTTGTTTTTCTCTTGGTTGATCAAAAAAGTGCCATTTTGGTACTAGGAGAGAAATGAAAACTTCATCTTCTGATCCTTTGTGAACCTCAAGCATCTTTTCCATTTCCAAGAGATCAATTCCTTTGTCTTAGTCCTTTTGTCAATATGCACCAGACAGCCTTGGTTCGGCACTTTGGTGAGGTACACCTGAATCTGCACTTTTAAAACAGTTTGGGTTTGTTTTTGTTTTTTTTCTTTTCGCACAGTAGCACCATTGTTACAGCAGGAGGACAGTGCACCCTAGGAATTCTCATTGTTTTACAAAAATTCTCCAAGATGTTACGTCCTCTTCATACAAACTTGACAACGACTAATACGTGTCCTCAGGTCTCCAGCTTTCAATGTCTCTGACTGAGGTTTACTGGTTGATGGAAACACAAACACACAAGGTTAGCTTTTCTTATGCTTACAGGAGCCTGGACTTGCAAGGTGCTGAGTGCCTTAAACATCAATAGGACTTAAGGATGTGCTTAAGTGCCTTCCTGGAAGGGAACTGCATGTGCTTACCACCTTCCTTGATCAAGCACTTATTTCATTACTCTCCCTAAAATCCCTCATGAGTTGTGACAGTCGTTTGTTTTAGACCAGTATTTCAATATGTAGACGGTGCTGTGCCAGCACACTACGCCAGCCCAACATGCCGGACACTCCACAAACACCGATTTGAGTAAAGGGTGTCTTTTAGAAATGACATTTGTTGGGCAATTACAAAATACAACACGATCTATCTCCCCTCCCACCCCCAGCCGCCCAACATGGAAGAATTTACATCTGTAATCTTTTGACTTCTCATTTGAATGGGATTATTTCATAATCAAATGTCACTGTCCAATTAAGGTGAAAATGTAAAGATGACAGATTTAATAAATTATTTCCTTCTGCTGTGTAAGGGTACGTACATGAGTGATTATAAAAAAAAAAGTCCATCTCGATCATAGAGTTTAAGGCCAGAAGGGACCACCAAATGATCTGTCTGACCTTCTGTATATCACCGGCCACCAGTGGCACCCAGCACTCACACACTAAAGCCAACAACCAAAATTAGACCAAAGTATTACAGCTCACAGGAGGCTAGACTACTATCCGCCTGTAGGCGGGACTGAGGTGCACCAGTTCTGGAGAGCCCTCAATGGCAGGGAAACGATGATAAAGTGAGATATATCTAGATAACCCTGGCAAGTGACCCGTACCCAACACCCTGCAGAGGAAGGCAAAAAATCCCCACAGTCACTGCCAATCTGACTTGGAAAATTCTTTCTTGACCCCACGTATGCTGATCAGTTAGACCGTGAGCATTTGAACAGGAACCCTCCAGCCAAGCACCTGAGAGAGAGAATGCTCAGTGCCACCTGAGAGGCCTGACTCTCTCCATTCAATGTCATCTCCAGCTGTGGCCAATTCTGATGCTTCAGAGAAAGGAGCAGGGCTAGGCAACCTATGGCATGCGTGCCAAAGGCAGCACACAAACTGATTTTCAATGGCACTCACACTGCCTGGGTCCTGGCCACCAGTCCAGGGGGCTCTGCATTTTAATTTAATTTTAAATGAAGCTTCTTAAACATTTTAAAAATCTTATTTACTTTACATACAACAATAGTTTAGTTATATATTATAGACTTATAGAAAGAGACCTTCTAAAAACGTTAAAATGTATTACTGGCACGCAAAACCTTAAATTAGAGTGAATAAATGAAGACTCAGCACACCACTTCTGAAAGATTGCCAACCTCTGGAAAGGAGATTTAAAAAATAAAACAAAGCAAAATACCACACAGTGGAGGGGGGGAAAGAATATCTTCCTGACCCCTGCAGATGGCTGGCTGAAACCCTGAAGCATAAGCTTATATTCCTAAAAGACAAACTGGAAGTGAACCCCTGGCTGTTGAGCCCTGCCCCTACCATCACATGCAAGCCTGTCATTACTTGGTCACATATGAGTAGTCCACTTCTTTCAAGTGAACGGTATAAACACATTTTTGAAAAGGAAAAGGAGAAATAAATAGAAAGCTAAGTTTGGGTGAGATTGAAAATAGTGAATGATGATAAGGAGGAAAATCAGATTAAAAGATCCATGAGGGTTATTACTGGTCAGGAAAACATGTAATTACCACTGATCAGCCATACTGCAAACCAATGGCATAATGACTGCCTAATACAAAAATAAATGGTACTACTTAGGTGTTCTAATGGGAAGTAACAGTTTCCATGTTGTAGATACCCACTAATGTTGTATAACACATTTTGTGGATAAAGCTCATTGTGCAACATTTGTGAAGTGTACAGCAGTCATTTTTCAATACAGCTGCAGTCAGAACCTGTTAATTCTCATTTGAGACACAAGTCACCATTCGGTAATAAAATTAGTATCTATGAAAGCAAGTTATTTTTCCATAAAACAACAGTGCTACTCTAAACGTGTGAAGGAAGCGATAAGAGTAGAAGCCTGAAGAGTTTGCAAAATCCTAAGGTGAAATCATGGCCCCAGAGAAGTCGATGGCAAAACTTCCATTGACTTCAGTGGGGCCAGGATTTCCCCCCTGTACTTCTGCAATCAACGTGAGATATTTGAGTCTGTCTAAATGTCAAGAAAAAAACCCACAAAAATGATCATTCAGTGTCAGACTGTGACATCGTTACTCACATTGAATAAATACATCACTCTTTGATATTGTCCCACTCATTACAATGGGACTACTTTTGGAATAAGCTACTAGTCAATATGAGTAAGGGTGGCCAGAAAGTAGCTCTCAGCCCTTGCAAAATAGGCAATAGAATGCACCCCAGCAAGTTTGGACAAGATGTAAAGGATTTTGTCAAGTAAACAAATTCCTGAAAAACTGGTCTTAGAAAGCATGACACACACATTTAGACGAGGGAAAAGGCACAAATTACCAGTTTTACAAGGATGAATTAAGTCTTCAAATAAGGATCTAAATCACCATTTGTCCTTAGAAAATAAATGTGATTTCCAATGCATTCAGTACACAATAAGTGATGTGCAAGAAATAAGCTCTCTTACCTAAACATTTCTGATATTTCTACAGTTGCCAGCCAGAAACTGTATGAATTAGCGTAGTAATTACAAGTACCACGACCATGACACTCAATAAAAGGAGCTGAGCGGAATTCTTCCAAACAGGAACCTGGGGATGCCAAGGCCTGTCCAGAGCCCTCTGCACCAGCACTAGTGTGCTAGAAAAGAAACAACTTGTAAGTTAAACTGGGATCCATAAGCACTAGGAGAAGTCACCCTGTTTCAAAAAATCAAGTTAATTCTTTTTTCCTGTTTGTTAAGACAATGCCGTAGATAACGTTCACCTAGGGTTACCGATTACAGTGGCATCTGAATTTTGGGAAATAACTGATCTCTGTTACCATAGTTGGCAGCTACAGGTAAATGTCATTTTAACGGTACAAACTGTAGTTTGTAACAGAAAATCCCGAAGTAGCTAGTACAAAACACAAACAGTTAACAGTAAATTTGGGGAGAGAGGAGGAGGCCCTTACCATCATGAAAGAATAACCAATCCAAAGAGAGTCCCAACCTTGCGGACATGATGGAATTTGAATGGTCTGACTGTGGACAGCAATAACCATGGCAGGAGCTTCACACACTGCACATCTGAACATGAGGAGAGGTATCAAAGAAACATTACGCCATTACAATAATGTATTAAGTAAGCCAAATACAAATTTTATTTCAGAAGAATTTAGAGAAATGACAGGAAAAATTGGGAAAAAATAATGTAAGAAAGGCTGCTGTAACAATTCAGATCTACTGCACCCCTCGAACAGTTTTATATGTATGCAGAATTTCCCACTGCATCAGTGAAACAAATAGGAATACAGAACAGAATTTTTTTTTTATCTAATTGCATTGAGTACCTTTAAAAAAAACTAACCCTTAATGAGCCCAATCAACCACTTCTTACGCAGGCAAAATTGGGAGAGCTCTGTTTAAAAATACGTACTACAGTAGACTCCTTAAAAGGTGCCAGACTGACAGTACTGAAAGCTAACATCCTTTGGTTTTCCACATAATAGGTCAAATACATAGTGGTAGTACTAGCTTGCCACACTATCCTATCCTGCCTGTTGTGCACTAATCCTGATTTCAAGGGAACGGTGCCACAGGTCAGAAAGTGGAGTTCAGTCTTCAGAAGAATCTGAGCGTGATCCAAAGGCCACTGAAAGATTCCCAATGGCTTAAATGGGCATTGGATCAGGCCCTCAGTCATTAGCTTGTCATCTGAGACTGTTAGCACGTATGCCAGTCATACTGGGTTTGTATCCAAATCGTAAAAGCCACAAAGTAATAGACTTCAAATGTCAACTCATTTCATCTAGACGATCCAAACAACTGTTGAAAGACAGTGACGCTACGGATATGGGCAAGATTTGAAACAGTGACCTTAAAGACAGATGTTCTTGCACTTTCATTCTAATTCATTATTAGCTCCAGGGGTGTTGGAACAATTCGTATAGTGGGGGTGCTGTGAGCCACTGAACCACACTGTAAATCCTGTATATAATGGAAACCACTTTAAGTGAGGGGGTGCTGCAGCACCCTCCGCACCCCTAGTTCCAGGGACTATGATTAGCTGGACACTCCAGCCCAATTTTGCTCTGTTACATGGCTTCACCTCCCAGTATCTTCCTGGGGAGTTGTACCTACATAAGCAGTGGCAGAAATTGGCCCAGTAATATTTTGCACAAAGCTAACAGTGAAGACTCATATTCAGAGATGTTATTTACTAGTACAGTAACTGGAGTTCTTTCAGATGATTTGTTCCTATGGATGCTCCACTCTAGGTGTGTGTGAGCACCCGCATGCTTCCCATCAGAGATTTCTGGTAGCAGTGTCTTGGATCTGTGCCTCTGCCCTATAAATCCTTGTGCTTTGATTCAAGGGCATATAGGGGAATGCAGAACTGCCGCTGCTCCAGTTCCTTCTCAACTATAAAATCTGGCATGGCAAGGACTACAGTGTAGAGGGGAAGGAGGGCAGGTAGTGGAGCACCCACTCAAAGAACTCCAGTTACTGTACAGGTAATTAACCTCTCCTTCTTCTTCTTCTTCTTCTTCTTCTTCGAGTAGTTGTCCCTATGCGTGCTACGCTTTAGGTGATTCCCAAGCAGTGCTCCAACTACGGAGGTGGGTGCTGAGGAGAAGGATCTAGTACAGTTTGGAGAACAGCTGCACCAAAGGCTGCATCTGCTATGGAAGCATGCACAATTAGCATAGTGGTGGGAAAAGGTGTGCACAGTCCACCAGGCAGCATCTTTGAAAGTATCTACAGTGGGCAGTGGTGCTGGAACACTTTTAATAGTGGGGGTGCTGAAAGCAGTTTTTACTTTTTATTCTCATGCCCTCCCCTCCCCCTGTCTGCGCTCTTCCCCTCCCCCGCCCCCATCCACCAGAGCTGGGGCTGGGAGCAGGGCCATGTCTCCGGGTGGGGGGAACCCAGACAGGGGTAAGGGAGCTGAGATGGAGGCCACAGCTGGAGGCGGGCATGGAGGGAAGAAAAAAAAATCAGACCCCAAAGAGGCAGTGGGTCTTAAAGAACACTCTGTAAGGAGCATCTTGAGTCTGTCCCCTCTCAGCTTCCTGGGTTTGATCTTCAGCCCACATAGACCTTACACTTCAATGGTACATGAAATCCACTGAGACAGTGGAAGCAGCTGGAATGCCTGTCACTGAGGGGAAAGTCTGGCAGGGTTTGAAGCTTGGGGTTTTGGGTACAAGCCATGAAGGCCACAGACAAAAAGGGGCTGAGGGCAGGCAGGAAGTCCCGACCATGAAAAGAAAGGTGGGGGGAACCCCCTACCCCAAAAGCACATAGCTTGCACAGAGGAAAAAAATAAAACCACAAACAAGAAAAGAAAAGAAAAAGCAAGCAAGCAAAGTAATGCTAAAGCTACTGGGCACCACAACTCTCCATCTCTATCCACAGGTGGTTGAGAAGGAACTGGAGCAGATAAACTCCCCTATTTATCCTTGGATTGGAGCATGAGGATGTGTAGGGCCTAGGTATTGGCATACGGACACTGCTACCAAAAATCTCTGATTGAAAGCTCATAGGCGTGTTCACATACCTATAGAAACAACTACTCAAAGAATTGCAGAATCTCTACCAGATGAGTCAAAAAAGGCTTCTCGATGGGTCAAGCTGGGAAGAGCTTTTTTTTCTGGAAGTTACTCTGGGTACCTTTGAGCAACCATCCAGTCCCCACAAAATTTTAAGTCTTTGTGCCAGATAAGAGCAGCAATTCTGTATTGGCTTGCGATGAAAGGTAGAGACAAGGTCCTGACCACTTTTGCTCATTAAAGATTCCCTTGACACTTTTATAAAAGACTAGGCTTGCTAGATCCGGCATCCAGACCAACTTCCAGGTTGGTAGTTAGTTTCTGCTCACCCCTTCCTTCTAGTTTCCACTGGATAAAGCATTCTTCACTTTCTGTCTGGAACTTTGATACAGTGCTGCTGTGCATTGTTTAAAAAGTTTCCCATAGGACATTACATTTCAAGGATGCATGAAATATATTTAAATATAGGGCCAAATTTTCAGTTGGCAAAATTCCCCCAAAAGCAATGGAGTTTTACCAGCTGAGAATTTGGCTCATAGTTTGTAAAGTTTGTTAAGTACTCTGGGATCCTTGGGTGAAAGGAAATATGCAAACATCTGTCTCTCTTCATAAGATATAATTATATGTTCTTTATGACACTAATTGTCTCTCCTTGTGTATGTTCATAGCCTCTAGTACGTTGTGGATGCTACATAAATCATAAAAATATGCTTAGATGCACAATTTAAGGTTATATGCTATTCAAAGAGCAGAGTTGATGGGACTTTGTGAGGTAGTGATTTTGGCCCAGAATTGTAGGCTTTGTTACTCAAGTTTCACAAACCTTGATATTAACAGAAATGTTTTCAGAAATGTAAATAGGTCCATTCAAAACAATCTCTTTTTGCCTGGATTGTCCTGCATTGTTTGCAACCCAAATACTATAGCATTGTGATGCTGCTGAGAACCAGAAGGTGAAAATGGTTTTAAAAAGGGAAACTAGTCTAGTCTACTTTCACTGTCCATGCTAAATAAAGCACAAGAAGTGCTATGCATAAATGAGAAGTAAAAACAGACATTTAAAAGCTTTGGGCCTATTCATGTGTTTTTTAAAAATGTTTTTAAATGATGATGTCCCCTTAAAAGCACCAAAATTCCTGAGATTTTAGATCAACGGATGGATTAAAAATGACAAACAATGAAAATGTCCATGGCATTCTTAGGTGCCGTGGAAATAAAAGTAGCAATCAGTAGTGGTTGCCAGTCCCCTGCTCTGAGGCACTAGACTGGATTACACACATAACACATTCACCGCCATTAAAATAAGAAGTTGTTCTATTATTCCTCAGAGAAAATACATACAACTGATTAATCTTTTTACCATGTCTTAATATTCAGCCTGCAGGCCCAAAACCACATTTCAACAAGACGTGCTATCTATTCAGATCCCACACAAAATCTTACGGCATATTTTGGCTCACCGGCTAATGAATGGCTGAATGCTCTGCCCAGTCAGTGGCTCCATGCTCATTGGCATTGGCTTTGGAGTGGACAGCCAATAGGAATAATCATTTCTTGATGCAAAATTACACACATTGTTGATGTTACAGAACATGAAGGGCATGGTGCTGAAACGGCGGAGACAGCTCCCAGCAGTACCTACAGAATAAGATATACACATATATGAATTGTGATACAGAAAAGAATTCTCATCTTACTGTGCTTAAAGGAAATGTAGCGCCCCCCCCCGCCCCCTTTTAAACACTATCTGCATATTCTTCTCAGCCTCTTATGAATGCACAGCATGGATTACCAAACTGCAATATGCGGGCAAAATATTGCCTGTGAATTTCAGTGTGTGAACACTCATCTTTAAGGTGCAGGTGCAAGCCCATGGAGATGACAGATCTCAGCGGTCAAGTCCCTACCTCTATCTGAATGACCTCCTGAGCTGTAGGATTCTCAGGGATTTCAAGGAATCAGAGAATTGTGAGAAGAAGCTGAAGCTTCCTTCCCCTGTAAAAGCGCGCATCAATATTGCATACGATGCATCTCACCTAAGTCCTGGCCATGGGCTCTCTCATTTCCCTGCACGTACAGAAGAGAAAATCCATCGTATATCCTTATTGTTCCTTGTGGGCACAGTGGTGTGTCTGTAGTCTGGCTGTGTCGAGTTATAAGGAATCCATGAGCAACAGAAGCTGTTCCAGGAGGACCTGGTGGGCCTTGCAAGCCATCAGGACCAGGGGGTCCCTGTGTACCTTGAAAGCCTGTGTACACAGGAGAAGCACAACACAGACATTTGTTCACATATCTGTTAACTACACGAGAACATTTCATCCAAGGAACACAGCACACTTTGAACACATTCATGAAGCCCAAACGCTCCTACGAATCAGGTGAATATTCTCCCCGGTTTTCAAAAGGTAAATAAGTGCAGACCTGTAGAAATGAAGGACCTGATTTTCAGAGATATGGAAGCAGCCACACCTCCCAAACTCCCATTGACCTCGGTTGGCTCTAGAATTGCTCAGCATGTCTGAAAATTAACCCAGAAGAGCCCAATGTTCTAAACTGCACATGACAGCAAGCAAAACCGATTGTCTAATCAGCCTGTGCAATGTTTCTTAGGTACTCAATGGCTCCAACAAGGAGGAAGGTTGGTCCAGTGGTTAGGGTGCTAGTCTGCAATTTGGGAGACCTTTGTGCAATACCCTGCTCCAGGGTACTTTCACAGGCTTCCGGTGTGGTCTTAGGCAAGTCATTTAAGTCCCTCAGTGACTGTTCCCCAGCTATAAAATAATAGTATTGCCATATCTCACAGGTGTGTTCTGAGGATAAATGCCTTAGTGATTGAGAAGTGCTCAGAAACTACAGTAAGTGGGGGCCATAGAGTACTGTAGTTAGCTATGAACAGGGTAGGTAAGCCATTCCAAACCCACACAACTGTATGTGCAGCGTAGCAAGTTAGCCCTACCTGACTTGCTTTCAGGTCACAAAGCAAGTCAATGGCAGAGCTGAGCTAAGGGTCTTATGCTAGAACACACTCCCTCTCTTCGAGGAGATCCAAAATCCACTGAAATAAATGGAAAGACTGCAATGGGCTCTGGAACAGGCTCTAAGAATGGAAGATAAAATATGCCATAACAACCTTAGAGCAGAGCATAAAAAACGTGCCTGGGAACTTCAGGGTCCCCTCTTTGTCATTGCTCTTAATTAGCTAAGTTTTAAGACTCAATTTCTAGAATGTTGGAACTTTTTTCTTCCTGGTTCTTAAGGACATTCTCTTCTTGCATGTTTTCAAACTATGCTAACAGAATATTTCACAGAGCTGGTCAAAAAAACAGGGCAAACAATTCCAAAGAATATTTTGTGGAATTTTTTGCCTCTTTTTGTTGTTGAAATTTTGACCTTTTCTCACCAGCACTGATATTTAACTTCATTATGCATATTCCTTCCCATCATTTTGTTTGTCTCCTGGCTTTTTAGAAAACTTGGTACAAGTTACAATCTAGAACCTCCGCCTCCTCCAGATGAAGATTCAGCCCTGACGGTTCTGACTCTAGCATTCAAGGCATGCTACTTTGGAGCACCATCTTATTTGCATAATTTGATTCCCACTTACTCCCCACTTGCCTTCTATTTCTAGTTGATGGGTAAAATTTTCAAAAGTGACAAACACTTAAGAGTCCAAATCTCACTGAAAGTTAATGGGACTTTGGGTCCTGGTGCTTTAATAGATTTTAGCTGGTGTCTAGTTAAACTTTTCCCCTCCCCCTGTTCAGTGCCTTTGCTCCACACAGACCTGATTTGATGGAATTCTTTCCCCATGAGAACAGTTTTTCTGATTCATTGTTTCAATGCAAAAACATAACACTTTATTTTCCCAGCTTCTACTCCTCTTTGTTTGTTACTGTCCTAATTATACACCATGTGTCACAGGCTGTGAAGAGTGTTCTATTGAACTCAAAACAAAGTGAAATAAAACAACATCCAGGGAATGGATCCGGCAACAATACTGGTACTGAGTCTGCCACTGGGCGGTTTTAAGACTAATGACTTTTACAAGCCTACAGCATATGCCAGCAAAAACACCATATTGGACTATCTAACAGCAGGATAGCTGGGACACCCTATTCCAAAAATGTAACATTGTTGCATGTGAATTGCAACAGAATACAAGTCCTGACATTTGTCTGCATTCTTAAGATGCGATTTAAAAAAAAAAATTTTATTTTTATTTTTTTACATACCAACCCCCTTTCTCCTCACCAGAACTAGGGTACTTATTATACCTGGTTGGCCGGGAAGTCCTCTCTCGCCTTTGCGTCCTCCTGGACCATCAAATCCAGGAAGTCCATCTCGCCCAGGATCCCCAGGAAGGCCTATTGGACCTAGAAAAATAAATGGAGCAATGAAAGTTACACTCTTACAAGCACACCTAAGTCTCAGCAAATAAACCCAGGAACCCTCTGGAGGAAACTGTCTACTGCATCCTAGAACAAATGGTCTACTGCATCCTGTTAACTAGTCACTTCCTATAAACATAAGCAGTAAAGCCTGCAGTCCACAGTGATCATACCTGGCAATCCTGGTGGGCCTGACAATCCAGGTGGCCCTTTCAATCCAGGCTGGCCTGGTGGACCTGGAGGACCCGGGTCACCTTTTACTACAATGGTTTGTCCAGCAGGGCCAGGTAAGCCTGGTGGACCTAGGATAAAGAAAGTTTGTATTAGAGAGACAGACAATCCAAGATGGAGGTGACTCCAAAAGACACACAGGGAAGTTTGATTAGTTCATCAGCCCTATAATTCTTTAAGATGACATCAGCCAAGAGATCTGATCAATGGAATAAACAGTGCAACTAGAGGTTCAAGTCAAAATTTGCTCTTAGTTGCATCCTTGCAAAAAGGATAGACTGACTCTTATAGGGGCTGTTCCATATATCCAAGGAAACACAGAGTAAAGTCAGCTTTATTACTGGTGTTAAACTGTGCTGAAGTCCTTTTCTCCATGGTACCCTTGAGTCAACACGAAACAACCACATAGAAAAAACTCAGCGGAGGAAGTGTTGGAACGGGAAATCATCAGCTACCCCCTCCTGAGCAGCTTCTTCCCACTGAATGAAGAGGAATGGGTCTACATCAGATATCTAAGTGGCTTTTCCCTGACTAGGAAAGTGGAAGGAAAGTTTTAAAAACAATGAATGGTGTTTGTTATTTTTATAATGGTGTTTAAATTGCTGTTCATATCATAGCACAACAAGGACAAATTCCATTGCTGGGGTATCTCTGCCCAACCTGAGTGAGTTACACCAGGAATGGACTTGGTTCCATGCCTTTGGGTCCAATTCTACCTCCCTGAAGACAAGGGTAGCATCAACCATGATTCATACCTGGTGAACCTGATGGGCCTTGATCACCTTTAAAACCAATTGCTCCTGGAGGGCCAATGGGACCCTTCATACCTGAAACACCAAACCAATACAGTTACACAGGGAAAGCATGTGCTTCCTGAAAAAATCTACAGCATGAGTGCTCAAAGCGGGCTCCTCTCCTCTACTAGTTGGACATTACTGAGTTCTAAAGGCTTTGTTTGAAATGATTTTTAAATACCTGGAAATCCTGGAACACCTGGAACCCCAGGATCACCTTTCATTCCATTCAGGCCGGGACGACCAGGATCACCCTAAACAAAGTAGCTTCACAATTATTTAATCCTCTCATTGAGTCTCAGGAGAGAAAAAAGGTGGACTGGGGACAAACAAGAATCTATAGGATTTCCAAGCTTTCTTGCTACACTTAGAGAGCCAGGAAACAGCACCATGAATGTATAAATCCACAGCAAAAAAAGGAGAGCATGCAATAGGGCTCATTTATTATTACATCTGTGAACAGGACCAGTGGGTGGCCTACAGTGGTATATAACACACACACACACACACACTCTCTCTCTCTCTCTCTCTGACTGGGAGATTTGCCATCATCCCTCACTGGCAAGGGGCAACAGAGCAAGGATGACGCATTAGCTACTGTTGCTCTCACTTGGACACTATGGAGAAATCCTGCCCAGCCACCTGTGTGGGGGAGGGAAGACGGTTAGCGGTGATCCCAACATCCTCTACACCTCCTCTGCCCACTAGAAGCCAGGATCTGTTCCAGAGTGTTAGAAACTACAGTCTGGCTTTAGGTTCATTATAAAATGCATCTTCCAACTAGAAGGCTCCATATTTTACTCTTTTTAAAAATAAAACACTCCCAGCTAGAAATACGCATCACTCCTTATCATACCTGGCGTCCAGGTTGTCCTTGATCTCCTTTTAGACCAGGGAGGCCAGGCTGGCCTGACTGACCTGGGTTTCCTTTTTCTCCTTTAAATCCTCCATTTCCAGGGGGACCCCGTGGACCTTCTGGCCCTGGCAGACCTTGATATTACATAACAGATGTTCATGGATCAGTATGAGTCAGCCTGCCCATGACTCCTGTGCATTCTGTATGGATTTGCATATAAGGACTGTGGTCTCTACATTAAAATATCTATATTTTAGCTCGGCTTCCCCCCCACCCAATGCAAAGTGCATGGCTAGGGCCAATCTAATGGGAATGCATAGCGTTTTCCCCTTCTTGAGTGTTTTCTTGATTGACCAACTCCATTGTGAAAGCCAGTGTCACAGAGTGACACACACAGAAGCGTAAAATGCTGCCACCTACTGCAGACAGAGTTTGACGTTTCCATTGAGGGAAGCAGGACCGGTGTGCCCCCTCCCCAAAGTGCTGCTCCTGACTGGGGAAGGTAAAAAATGCCACTAAATCCTGCATCTCTTAGAGGCTGTTCCACCTCGAAGAGGCAGAGGAGACAGGCGTAGGGGTAAGAGCAGAGCCTTCCCCAACCAAAGCTCAGGGGTGAATGCCCTTTCAGTTGATTAGTCTCCTCTCCAATAATTAGGCTGATTTCAATATATAAACCCCAATGGAGGTTGGACATTTGTTTCAATTATTTTCTCTAACATTCAGGATTAGTTTTTTCTTAAATGTGCACTCAACAAATTTCTCCACTGAGCAGTAGGGAGAACCTAAACACGACCCTGGGGATTGCATTACCCTTTCCTTTATGTAGACAGAGGGTGAAATACCCTGTTGTTGACATTTTCATGTAAGTTCATAAAAACAACTCATAGTATATTGAAAACAAAACACCTGATCAGATCAGATCGGATCATTTCACCTTTGTTCCACAGTGATAAATACAAGGTCATCGTTACTCAGATGTGACACAAACTGCATGGCAAGTAAAATGGAAAGTGCTGCTATGATTTAAGTCACATATCCATTTATACCTTTATATGTGGAGATGAAGGGGTCTAACAAATAGAGTCTTCTCTTTGCTGGAGAATTCATGACTTTCTCCTCCTTAATTCTACCCATGTAATATGATTTTATAAGTGTACTGGCTTTTCAATTCTTCTGAAACCGTTAACAATTTAAAGTCTCTCTTTAAAGTCCTCAAAGAGGCCATGTACAGAGAATGGATTTGATGAGTGAGATTTCTGCATGCAGTTCTGAAGATAAAACCCTCACCATTTCTTTTTAAAATTCAGTTGCAATTTAGTGCCACATATCAAACAAGTCATGCAGTTGACAGCTACAGACACATGCCACCATACAAGCTTATTCTGAAGAGAAACTGAATCTGGTACTGCACACATGAGAACTAATTACAGGTTACCGTCTCAGGTATGCTAACTGTCAACAGGTACCATCTACAGGGTACCCACAGCACTTAAAAACAATCTTTGAATTACAGAGAAACATCAATTTTCCGTATGACAAATGCAATGCAGTAAAATAAATTGACCAAGTTAAGAATCTAACCTGGAGGACCTGGAAGGATCAGAGTTCACCAAAGCCCAATGATCGATGTTAGAAGGATCAGACATCACACAGTACAAAACAAGATTACTAGTTAGAAATAGTACGGATGATAGTATATGCACTAAACAATAACCCGTTTCACCAGTATATTTTGTATTTACAACATAATCAACATGCATGCAAAAAACCATACATGAGTGGGCAAATATAGACATTTTCACATACAACTTATTCTGGTGATTAGGCTACTAAGGCCAACATGACACTCTTCATTAAATCAGAAACTTAAGCTTTACTGAAGAGCATGTTTTTGCTTTAACGTTACAAGTGAGGTCTGCTGCCAGTTAGTCCTATACAAATGAGGGTTGTCCTAAGTAACCATTTCACTGACAACACTCAGTCTCTGCGTGGCCTGGAGTCTGGTGAATATCCAATTTAATGAATAGATTCAGAAGTTTGCACCTTCTTTTTGGCTGAAATTCATCTCTGTGCAGAGGGTTAGCAGACGATGCAATCACCACTTAAGTCCCACTGCACAGATGCGAATGTCACCATTTGTGAAAGGAAGTTGAAGAGCAGAATACTAGTGAGCAATACAAAAAAATAGAACAAAAGAAAATTTGTTAAATGTGCACTGGTCAGGTGCTAGAAATGTAATCTGGAGGAAAATACATAGCATGACATGTACATCTATCCTTAGAACTGTTCTCTTGTTGGCATTGTTCTTGATAAAAAAAATGCCACAAAATGCTAATTGGTCTGTTTTAATTTCTTAGGGAGATTTTTTTATTCTGCAACACACTTGGAAAGCCAATTTAAGGGTTCTTCTGTTCAGTGCAGGCAAGTCTTTAGTGACCGTCTCCCTGACATCCTCCAGAATTAAGACAATCTGGATCCATCACCCCTCACCCATTTTCATATCAGTGAAATGATTTAAATATATATTTCATGCAACGTTCAGCTAAAAACCACAGTAAACATGTCAGGTTTATCTCAATGCTCTATTTTTCTACACTTTTGACACTTTATTAATACTAGCTTTATAATGGTTAAAAATAGCATCTTGTTGCTAATGTTAATTTCTTATAAAATGTATGTAAGTTTTGCTGTGATTTCCAAATACGATGCATGACTAGCTGAGAGTCTGTGCTGAATTTGGTGAGAGTATTAGACAAAGCATGGAGCGGGGCTAGCTCAGGAGGCCCTCCGTCATGAACTGCAGCCCCTCTGCTTACCCAAGATGCGGGGCCTCTCCTGAAGCATGACTGCTATTGAAGCCACACTGTGTGACGGTTTTGTGATGCAGACAAAACCACAATTAGATAAAAAGAGGAGACCACATTCTTTTTATACTTTAAGATCTAGAGTGAGATGTGGACATAGGTTGGTACATTAAGTCTCTAGCAGCACTTAGTGTACACAGTTAAAACTAAATTGGATTCATTATTGAACTTTGATCACAGCACTTTGTTTCCTAAAAGTCATCAGAGCAAAACTTTCAAGACTTCATTGAATAAAATTGTAATTACATAGGTATGCCAAGTCATTTTCATTCTAAAGACAGACACTGGGACTTTACAACATCTGGCTAATGCTACATGCACAGTATACTATGATTTAAATAAATCTGAAAAAATGGCTAAGCACTTATGAAACATCTTCTGCAGCCTTATAGAGGAGATAGCTTTGTGCTCCAATTTAGTTAGACTAGTAAATGGCAATGGAAGCCTCTCTGTGTTCTACTAACTTTATGGAGATGAAATAAGGTTATGAAAATAAGGGCTTGTCTACATGGGAAAATTATACTGGCATAAGCTAACGTGAATTTGAAGTGCTATAGTTATACTGGTATAGTCACTGGGTAGGCACTTGTATTCTCAAACAAGAGGGCCTTTTTGGGGTAGTTTATGTCACTTTGGAAGGCATTTAAGCTTAAAAAATGCCATTCTAATTCTAAAATAAGAGGGCCCACACAGGGAGTTATACCAGTTTAACCATATCAGTATAACTGGCAAAGCTTTCATGTGTAGACAAGCCCTAAGCGAGCTATTCATAATAACTAGAACTGCGTAACAGCATGAATGGATAATCATCTTTCTGCCCAGCCTGCCCTTGGAAAAGTCTTCTTTCACTTTCCTCTATATGCACTGGCATACACATCTACTTTCCTTCCTCCTGCTGCTTGTTAAATAAAAAGCCTATAGGTCTCCTCAGACCCCAACTGGTTTGGTGAACAACAAATATTTTACAGAGAATAAGTATCACAGCAGAGGCACCCATTGCCTCACTTTTCTTTTATTTCATTTAGTGTTTTCCTTCTCTAAGACTCAAAACAACAATCAAGATAGCCATGTTAAATTTGCAGGACACAGAATGTAAAAAATAAGGAATTCTTGGCTCTCAAAATCTACATTTAAGATTATACAAAACATATGCTTGTCAACTTTTCCAAAGAAACAACATAATAGATTATGAAGGCTAATCCAGACTGTGTTCCTTATACGGTGCCCTCACTCCTGACTGTCCATAATCAACAACTGCAGGTTTTACAGAAATGAATGTTGTCATCTAACTGACCTGCAAACCATGGATCTCCAGGCAAGGGATGAGAACACTGCAGCATACCAGTTTTTAAAAGGGGAGGGTGGGAGAAATCTTACTTTTCCCCTTTCAGTTGGACTGGGAAGAAATATTACAAAATATATTTCCCAGTCAGGGGCGCAATCCTGCAGGCTTCTGAAAGCCACTAGTTGGGTGCCACATGGTCTTAACTCGTCTGTAGTTAGGGAACAAAGGATGCTCAGCACTTCCCTGGATCAGTCCCCAAATGATGGGCATAGTGGAGTCTGAAAGCCTGCATTTGATTCTCCTGTACTACTACACATCAAAGGTACGTATGAAGAATGACTTGGTATACCTGACTTTAGTTCTCTACATTTATACATCAACAAATGGTTTTTTAAAGTATACACATTCAACTTCATGCAAAATTACTATTTTGGAGTTAAGGGGCTAACCTGAAGGACCTGGGAGTAGGGATCAAAGTTCACCAAGGTCATCATTACAACAGGGGGAAAAACATCAAAACTGTTAGAAATGTCAATGTATTAAACTAAACCTTTCAATTTAGATTTAGCTCAATATTGCTTTACATACAGTATGCAAACACCAAACTATTATTGTTCATGGTCAATAATAAAACAGAGTTAAAAATAGTGTTTCATTCTCTTAGGAATCTGCTTTACTGTATTAGCTATTAATAAACCCTTACTATTATCATCATGCCAAACTCATTCCAGATGTAACTCAGCAGAATGGAATAATACCGGGTTTGAATTTGGTCACTTTAACTAGTCTGAAAATACACCCAGAAGTTAACAAGCAATGGATGCAGCTGATTCACATTTTTATTTATTATTTCCTTAGAAGTGGGATAATTTGTCAGCAGCAGAGCTGCTTTTATGATTAACTGCCTGAGGTTGAAATGTTATGAAAGCAGCATTTCAACAATGGGCTATAGTCCTTTTGTTCTACAAAGTGCTGATTGTAATAGAACTGCAGTAATAGTTTGGTTTATCCACATTAGTCCATGCACAAATGAGCAAGACAAACATTTCGCTTTATACACTCCATGCAACAAAAATGGAGATGAAAGAGAGAAAACATGCCTGAGTAGAACTTCACTGGTGTTTTCCAACTGATCACCTAAAATGTGCACAAAATAATATTCTTGTCTTCTACCTTGTCAACTAATTTAGGTTAATAATTGCAGGGTTTATATGAAACATGTAAACAGGATCAGAGACCAGCAGAAATATAGCTATGCTACAAGTGAAATATGGGATCACAAATTGTTCAGAATTTAATGTTTTACCTCATACAGTTTAGATTTTGTGGGGTAACTTTTCATATGAGAAATTATTTTAAGTAAAGGCTCTGATCATTATAGAACAGCAATCAGCTGCCCTATGGAATGTTTCATCATCATAATACTTTGCGCTTGGATACCACTTTTCATCTGAAGATCTCAAAGGTCTAGCTTGTCACAGCCCTTACTTGGAGTTGCATCTACCTGCACCAGAGGTTAATTTGGCTCCAAGCTCCCAATCCTAAAGACCTTAGAAAATTTATATTGAAAAAAACCCTACAACTCCCCCCCGCCCCCTAAATTGCCAATATACGGATAGCAGTTATTTTGTAAATGCACTAGCTCAATGTTTAACCTTCCTCACCCAGAGCTTTCACCCATGAAAAATCCCAAATTCAGAATACGTGCGAAGTTTCAGTTTAAAAAAAAAGTGTTTTCTATTTGTAAGCAAGCAAACAACTTCACTTCAATGAGCTGCTTCTCTTGAAAATGAATGTCAAGCGCATTGGGTGGCAATTTATAGTATTAGCTGCTAATTAATTTCAAGTCCAAGTAACAACTATAAGACAAGGCCTTGAGAGGTGAAAGACAGAATATTCACTGACACAGTCCTTAATCGCTCAAAAGTGGCATCTTAATATTGATTAATTTTCCGTGAAATATATAAACACATAAATTAATCTAATTTCTCAGTACACCAGAGATCTGCTCAGGGATGTTAACCCAGGATGGAATTCATCATTTCCAGAATTAGTAGATGCAGGAACAAGATGCAAACATGGAATGGAAAGATGAAGACTGCATTGTGTTGCACTGAATCCACTGGAACGTGTGACACGATGGAACAATGATGTGCATACATGATGTTGAGATGAAGAAACCACTATCCAATTTGATCATGCTGTGATGCTAATATGAATTTGATTTTCATGGGTCCTAGAACGATGGAGTTTATTACTTTTATTTTTGTGCACGATGAAATTCATTGATCATGTGACAATACCACAAAGGCATATTTGGCAGATGCTGCAAAAGTTGATTTGGTGCTCTCTAGATGATTGCTGTGACAACATGCTGAGAATCTCACGTTTATCAATGCATTGTATTTTGCTGCCAGGTATGAGCAGGGTCTTTCAAAAAAGAGACTAGCAGAAATCAAGATTTTTATTTGTTTTTAGTATCCTTCTTAATATTGTTGCTTTTGGGAAGACAGCCTTTTGGTTACCAAGAAATATTTAAAGGTTATACCATGGAAACACAGCTGTCAGCCACACACTATATCAAAAGAATTGGTCTGAAATTCAGAAGTTCTCAAGGCTGATAACCTGCCAGCAAAATAAAGAATTATTGACAGAGATGGACTGTTATGAACCGCATTCCTACCTGGTCTCCCCGGTACACCTTGTGGACCAGGACTACCTTTAGGACCTTCCATAGGTGGCCCAGGCAGGCCTGGTGGACCTTGTTGACCTTGTAGACCGGGGAATCCCTGGAAACCTGGTTCACCCTTCAAACCTGTAAGTCCAGGGGCTCCTGGAGGGCCAGGTAATCCCATCTCGCCCTTTTGCCCTGTTAAACCAACAGATTAGTTATATGTAAAATATCCAAACTTCAGTTGAAGTACTAGGACTTGATTCAATTCTTGCTTATAAAGGTGTAAATCTGAACACACCTCACTGGCACCAATGGCATTACACCAGTGTAAAACTGGTGTGAGAGGACAATCAGACTCAGACACTCTAAAGAGCTGAGAATTCTTGCAGGACAAGAAGTTGTATAACTTGGGGCATGCAAGAGGATCTTGCTAAATCTCACTTTGCTACTCTTCAAATCCATTGATGCTCAAACTCATAAGGGTCTCACAACCCCACTTCTGAGCAAAGGTTTAATGGACATGACATTGCTGTGGTGAGATCCTCCAGTATTAAGACTTTATTCATTTCATATAATATAGCACAGAGCATTAAGACATACTGGATACAATTTTCAAAAGTGGCCAAGTGATTTAGGAGTCTTAGTCACCTGAAAGTCAAAGGAAATTAGACTCCTAAGTGTCTAAGTCACTTCTGAAAATTTGCAAGTGACTTTTGAAAGTCACTTAGGTGCTTCTGCAAATTTTACCCATTGTCATACCTTATAACTAAGCCATATTTGTTAGGAGTAAATCAACAAAGTACAGTGCATGATGCAGTCGATTTAACCATCTTGTCTTTTTTGCTTAATTGTTAATTCACTAAGTTCAATAGTGAGCCATGGGTCTCTCAGTTACTGATGCAAATTAGAGAGGTCCTACTGTAGTATAGGAGATAAAAGGTTACTGCTACATTGTTAATTTGGTACAGCATAACGATATCAGCTAAACGTCTACCACCTTTCCCCCCTTTTGTGTGTAGATACATTTTACAAACATCCTTATTAAAAAAAGAACAATGACACTTTGCCTGATAATCCTGGGAGTCCAGGAGGTCCTGGGCGCCCAAAACCTGGTTGACCTGAAAAGAAACAGATTAATCTTTTTACAAATGTGGAGTGCTCAGATCTCCAGAAGCAGGACGCCTAGGGTGAGGATAAGAAGTTAGAATCCCTTACTGGTAATTCAGTTTCCTTAAGGGGGCGGGTTCTAACAGGGTTCTCGCTCGCTTCCACATCTCCCCTCAGAGATAAGGGATCTCCTCCAAGGTGATATGCTGCTTACATGGCATGTTTCTTTCCATCCTCAAGATGGTCTTTCACATTATGGGTTTTGGTAAATTTGCATTTGTAGTTGTGTGATAGTCGCTATTTTTAAGGGAGTACCGAAGGTTCTAGAGCAAGGATGGACATTTTTAAGGTAGTAGAGGGCCCCACAACCCACTAAAATGCTTTGGTGGGTCATTCTTTTTTTTTTTTTAAAGGCTCCAGGATATAGTGGAAGAGGAAGCCTTCATGGCTGAGGAACAAGAGGCCCTTGCTGTCACAGCAGCAGCCTGCAAGCTGCCCTGGGAGAACGGGCACCAGAGCAATGAGTCCCACAACGATGTTACCATGCCGCACCACATACACCTGCCCACCCATGTTCAGCTACATGATTTCTGGGAAGGAGGATGAGCTCGTGCCCGCCAACACTACCCTGCCACTGGGGACACGCTACCCCCATTCAGCAACCCCAGCAGCTGTCCACCAGGGCCATCCTGGAGTGAGTCCATAGTAACCAGAGCGGCCACCTTCTGCCTGCATTGCAGCAGGTGCAGACGAACTGCCTCCTCTCCTCCAGGCGGTAGGAAGAACCGCCTCTCACTCCCTTTCACCATCCTCTGCTCCGTGCTGACCAAGGTTCTCACCCCTTCCATCACTCCAGGTGCTGGCAGAGCCACCTCCTCTCACACTCAGATTTGGGTGGACCTAGGTGAACCCACCCATGGCTGCATCCCTGGTTGGTGGGCCAAATAAAGTGAACTGGCAGGATGGGTGCAGCCCATCCCAAGAGGTAGTGGAAGCAATGGCAGCTGGAATGGAATTAGAGGGGAAGGGATTGTGCTCAACTGCAAAAGCCTTAGAGGGCCAAATGTCTAAGAGTGAAGAGAGTTCCTGCCCTGTATCTCACTGGAGGCTTGATGCCCTCCTTTGTGTGCATCCTCAAGAACTGGGAATCACAGAGGCTATTCCGAGGTAGCATGGATGGTTTTGGAAGAGGACAGAGCAGAAATCAGAACACAGAGTTAGAAGCAGAAAATAAAAAGTAAGGAACCTAACCTGGTTCACCCTTCTGTCCAGCTGGTCCAGGAATACCATCCCGACCTGGTTGCCCTTTCTCCCCTGGAAGACCTGGGGGGCCAGGACGGCCATCACCACCTAAAAAAAATAGAGCAACATATTAGAGCAACAGCACACCTGCCACAAAACTAAAACTGAAGGAATGACCAAGTAATATCAAGTCCGTGTGAATGAGACCATTTAAAATCAAAACCAAAAAACTCTTTCCTTCTCTGCTTTCTGCACTCACAGAAAAAGGTCACAGAACTGTAATCTTTAAGCAGTTTAATGGCGATTAAAATCCATCTAATGCTTCCTTGCATAGGTGAAATTAGGTTCTTGCTTCTGCAAACACAGGATAAGCTATTACAATGCTTAATATAAAGAAAGCCGACAGATACAGAAACAGATACTAGTTTCAAAAGGTAATGAGATAACTTTGTCAGTGACACAAGTAGTCAGGGTTGCTAACAGAAGGTTCAAGTATAATGGAATTATTGTAATTTGGTTTCAGGGCATTGTACGTACACATGTGTGTGAGAGAATGAGAATAGATACACATCACACAATATAGTTGTCAAGATATGAAAAAAGAAGCTATTTCAAATTTTAAAAAGGTTCATGGGACCAAATCCTGCAGGCAAAACTCCCATGACAATTTACAGTTTTAACCCAATAATTCGATGCATAGTGTAGCACTTGTAATCACAGTACTCCTTTTGCCAGGTCTAATTCCACCATGGTAAATCTGCACTTGCCATTAGTGGATCTGGTCATATGCCCTCTGTAATCAATGAGAATTTTGCCATCCAAGATGGGACTCCATGTCAGAAATTATTATGAAGAAACATAAAGAACCCATAATGCCAGCCTACATTTTTCTGAAAGGGAATTTGGATTTTTCAAACAGCATTTCATAGCTTTCACTTTCAACTAAAGCTTTGAAGCTATTTCAAATCACTCTTTCCTGTTTAATCCTTCAAGTCACAGTTTGGGAGTCAGATATCTACTATAGGTCATAGAACTTTCTGGTGAACATCATAAGCCAAGCTTAAATAATACAAAGATAACTGAGGTTCTGCAAGCTTGACTTTGTTGTACGATTCATGCCTACCTGGTGGCCCAGGTGATCCAGGGAGACCAGGATTACCTGGGGGTCCATCAATACCTTTTGGTCCTAGAACTCCTGGTGTCCCTGTGAAATAATCAAATCAAATAATCAAACAAGACACTGCAGTGTTTTATCAGGTACTGGTAAGCACTGGATAAGGTACAAGTCAGACCAAGTAAAGAGTGTCAAGAAAGTATCAAGATACTGTACAATACATGCTGCAACTGTTAATACCATAGATTTGCAACCATTCATTTAAAGGGGCAGTAGGACTTTAAAGAAGAGGAAGTTCATCAACATAAAACATGGTTGCCTAAAGGTGTTTTTTTCCTGCCATCCTTCAGAATCCCACCTTCTTAATTACTTAATGCTGAAGGCCAATAGCATCTCTAACTTAAGTCAGACAGTATCGTCTCTAAAATGGATATAACCTAGTAAACAGCAACAGCATATTTAGTTAGCAACACAGTGAAAGCATGATGGACAGCAGCTAACCCATCATTCCCCACTCCCTACCTCCTTTCCAGAAAAAGATCTTAATGGGGCATGGGTCTCACCTCCATAGCATTAAGCTGATGTGAGTTAAGGACACTTACCACCTATCATGTTTGGTCCCTTAGTTTAGATATCACTAAATTCGGACTTGAGAGCACTGGGGCTGTCTACAGACAACAACTTGGGTCGATATAAGCTATATAGCGCAGGGGTGTGAATAAGCCACCCCTCTGAGTGAGATACATTATGCCGACCTAAGTGCTGGTGTGGACAGCGCTATGCCAGTGGGAGAGCTTCTCCCGCTGACATCGCTACTGCCACTCGTCGGGGCTGGAGTAATTAAGTCGACAGGAGAGCTCTCTCCCGTCAGCTTAGAGCATCAGCATTAGCAGCGCAGCTGCATCGTTGCTGTAAGCCGCTGTAAGCTCTGTAGTGTAGCCCTAGCCTGAATTACACTGACTGTTAAAAAGTCTCTAGATAAGATTGCCAAACCTAATGAATTCATGTTTGTATACACTGAAAAAATCTCCTCTTTACAATTAATTCTTTAGAGAAGCCAAGATTTTGTAGTAAGTTATAATAAAAGCCAAGATCCACAAGGGCTTTGTTGTAGCAATCCACAAGGGAAAAAGTATGGCCAAACTCAGATATTTTGTGGGTCAGAGGAGTTAGTAATCTGACCATTGCAGATAACCCCAGTTGTAGTATTGGCTTTCACAAATGTTCATGTGTTCTGGTCCCCTCACTGCAAATGAATTGACATTGATTTTAGAAGGAAGTTTAAAATGATGTATCTCTATCCCTTTGCAGTGATGATTCCGGAAGCATTACATGAACTGGCTCCACAGTAAGAACCCCGAGCAATTACAGCCTGCCACCATTCAAGTTACCTGGAGACGGAAGCCAAAACATGAGCGCATGAGCGAAAGACAGGAAATTCCAATAAAAATTCCAAGTAAAATTACCTGGGAATCCAGGAAGGCCTGCTTCTCCTTTTGCACCTGGATTACCTGGTAATCCAGCCAAACCAGGATTTCCAGGTGTACCTTTGCTGCCAGGGTTACCTGGGTATCCAGGGAAACCAGTGTCACCCTGGAAAATATTAGGCAAAAATGAGATCCATTCATTTTCATTTCATTTAATTCTTTTTGTATGTTCCTGTTCTTGACATCAGACACCAATGAATGTCATTAAAATCTTCACAGTTTTTCTTTTTGCCTAACTTGATGTTAACCAATGCTTAGTGCTGGAACTTGGTAACGTTTATTACTTGAAAATGGCAATTGTAAAGATTTTAATGGTGGCCGCTACAATTTGTTTGTATAGTGTTCCCCAGAGCCTTTCCCCAAAGATTGTTCTTTGGCATTGTGAAAAGTTGGAGAGGTTATTTTCTTTTAGCTCTACATGGAGAGATTTTTTTTTTTTAGCAATTTTAAACATACCACTGTAAAAATGGCATGGTGGGAGCCCAGGTGTATTGCATCTCAATAATGCCATGTAAAACCTGTTCAATTTACAAGCACAGAGTATTTTTCTAACTTGTCAGCCCTGGAACCTCAACTCTGAAAGTAAAACACTGTTTTCTTTCTGACTCGCGCATCATCACCAATAGTAAAGGTTGAGATTGTCACATTATTTATACAAATAGATTCACACCTGTACACCCCATTGCGTTCCAGTGCTCTCCACTAACTTCAGATTTCTGTTCAGCCATTAGGCTTTGCTAGATGTCATGAAAATGGGAATTGGGCATTCAAATCCCACAAGTGGCTCTGAAAGTCTCAGTCATAAATAAAGTGTCAAATCTTCCTAGTAGGTGTTATTGAGCTACCAATATATTTTAAGCAAACACTTTATATTCCTCAAATTGGAGCTAGAAACCGTTCAAACCTGCTCCTATGGTATAAGCACAGGTTTAAGGAGTGGAATACCACCAACTCATGCTTTTCAAAGTAAGAGATGAACTAAGTTTCATTCTAAGTTACAAATAAACATTTATGGGATCATTGGCAACAAGACAAGTCCAGGTAGGAGATCTCTGGCCACGTTTATCCTGGTTACGAATCGTTACACCAAAAATAAATTTGGCCCCCCTTAGTTTTAACATTCCAATCAGATACCTTGCTAAGTCAATGAGATATTTCTATTAGTTCTATGCCTACTCGTTATTTTACTTCTGCTTCTTGTTCTGATTCCTTGCCCAAGTACCATAATTCCCCAAACATTTCCCAGACCTGAGGAAGAGCTCTGTGTAAGCTCAAAAGGTTGTCTCTCTCACCAATGGAAAAGTTGGTCCAATAAACGATATTACCTCACCCACCTTGTCACTCTATAATTCCCTAAAACATCAAAATCATTTTCACAGCAACAACCGTGAGGTCAAACAGGATTATGGCATCAGGTGGAAAAGAAGCAACAGAATCTTTTAAGAAGCCAAGATTCTGTTGCCATGCAGTTATCTTGGATATTGTAGAAGGAAGAAAAATTCAGAAGTGTGTGATATTTTATCTAAGTATTGCTTTTGCTAAACAGATTGTCATAAGGCTCCAGTGACAGCTGCTAGGAGCTTACTTTTTTATAAAGTCCGATCACTTATGTAGCGAATGTTTGAAAATCTGGGCACCAGTATCTTTTTTCAAGCTTTAGTTTTTGGCAGCAGCACCTGTGACCTTTTAGTTGCCTCTTCCCTGTGGATGTATCTCTAAATGGCACCTCTGCATATTGTAGTCACCATTTTTCAAGAATTAATTGTGGCTGCTTGAGATTGGAATGGAGCAGTTCATTCTACTACCCCCTATAGGTTGTCATTATGTCACCAATTATAACATAATGACAACCTATAAGGAATCTTAAGTGAGCCATAATTTAGGATAGTCTCATATGCAACTTTCTGCCAAATGCAAATAACAACATGGATAGGGGTTTCTCCAGCTGTTCTAGTTGCTTTAAAATATTACTCTCTACCAATGGAAATGGACATCACAGATGTTTCTCTTGGTAGATAGCCCTCTGTTAAACAATTCTTGATAAACAAAGACTTTTATGAGGAAAGCCAGTGCTACTGTTGGCTGCAGGGGAAGTGAGTTGTATGCAGATTTTCAAAAAAAGGTTTTTTCCTTTAAAATGAATCTTTATTTTAATCTTAAAAACACTGAATCCCAGTGTGTCTTTCTCTTCACATAAAAAAAATTAACGCCCTTTAACACAGAAATATCATTCACCCACAGCACCTTCTAGGGAAGGATTTTGAAATATACCTTAGGGCCAGGGATTCCAATATCTGAAAGACCTGGGTTGCCTTTCTCCCCCTTTAATCCTGGAAATCCTGGTGGGCCAGGCTGGCCAGGACGTCCTGCTATGCCTTGAGAGCCTTTGATACCTGGGACACCTGTCCAAAATATCAAAAAAGATAATGGTTTTGCAGCAGCTTCAGAGCAGTCAGTCAAACTGTAAACTGACCAGGAAGGACTAATGAAGAGTTGAATGACTGATGAGACTTATTTTTTTAATCAAAAACAAACAAAAACAAACAAACAAACAGCTAAAATCTCTCAGGGCTTCAGCATACTTCTCATACAAGGGGGAGGAATTTTACAGAATGCACAAGGATATAAATATTGCCTGTGTGTGTATATTTTAAACTGACAAAACCAAGAGGCCCTTGATAGTAAATAGCAACCAATTACTACTATAACCCCCAAAATATTGGTGGTGTTGTCCCAACACTTCTTCCAAAGTAACTGAATTACTGTATCTATTTTCTTTTGAACAAATAACCCATCTTATTTTCCCTCTGATGGACTAGTCCACAGAGCCCTTTTCATTTCTAAACTGTTTTGTTGGGTGGAATCTGAAAAATGAGAGACCAGGCCCAATAAAAATTGTAATAAGATTCTTAGACAGATTTGTGGTCTCAGATGAACTACACATGAAAGCTACAATAGAAATACGCCCTTCCAGCTTTGTATCTGTAGTACTTTAAAATGAATGTACTTAGTTAAATATTTTATTATACAAGTCTGAATTTTCTATGCCAAGCCGTATACCATATATTCTTTCTGTACTCTTCACATAAGTATATGCATGCTACTTTACATATATTTACATTCGTATACACATTACACATGCAAATCTGCCTCTGCTTTGCAGAGATGAAACATACTGACCGGATCAATGCCTTTTAGTAACTAACCTGGAAGCCCCATCTCTCCGATGGCACCTTTTTGTCCTGGAGGTCCTGCTGGTCCTGACTGCCCAGGAAGCCCTGGCTCTCCCTTGGGGCCTAGAAAGTAGGTTACTTTAGTTAATAGATGGCAATGACAAATCGTTTTGATACAGTGATTACTCACATGAATATGGCCATCTTCTAATTTGGGGTTTCTTTGCGTGCCCAGCTGCCTTGAGATACCTTTTTTCCCAATCTGCACTGAAGATTTAAAACTTTTCTTTCAGCAGCAGACCTTGATGCAGTTAGGTATGCCTTTCCTCCTTGAGTAAAAATGGACTGCACATACCACTACAACTTGGGAACCATCTGAAACCAACTAGCACAGAACGTGGCTGCCAGTTTCTTAAGCAGTGCTTCACACAAAGAGCACATTCTCCTGGTGGCTCCTTAATCTGCAATGGTTGTTCTTTAGTTTCCAGGTGGCGTTTAAGCCCATGGATTCGACCGATAAAGCCTGACATAAGAACTGGTGTGGGTCCTGGCTGTCTGAAAGATTGCATAAATTCCAATATGACACCTAGAGCAAGACTTGCAACCAGGCAATGCTGGTAGAGAAATACTGAACAAAAAATGTAGAGGCTTCAGATGCAGCAGAATAAATACCGTGAAGTAAGATTTTTGATCCATGCAGTAGCTAAAAGCATAGATATGATTTCCAGCTAGCCTTCCCAATACTTCTGTTTGGTCTGTTGCTAACTGTAGAGGTAAGGACTAATGATGTAGGGATATGTTGACTAAGTAGGTCAGTCAAGGCTACTTACAACTCCTCCAATCAGGTTGCTCTTAGCAGCAAGCTCGTTTCCAGCTACCCCAATGGCAATCCCAAACTTCAACCAGATCAACAGATCAAAAATTGCATTCAGGTACGTCTAGTATTTTACTAGGAGTAATAAATCCACAATTTGGATAGGGATCCCAAGTTCCTCAAAGTCTGCAGATATTTAGATCCAGAAAGTGAGGTTGTCCTTTATGGTGGTACTACGATGTGAGTAAAAATGACATGAAGTCATTCAACAGCAATGAAGAAAGCTGGGAGGAGAGTGCAGAATCCAGTTGAATCTGGAGGGAATACCTGGCACTGGGTGCAGCTCAGCAAGAAGTGGCTTTGATTCAGAGGATGGAAGCAAAGTGAGCAAGAAGAAAGCAGCGTGCTGTAATCTTGGACTCCCACAGAGACAATACATGGATCTGTGAAATTTATAACAAGCTGTGTCGCCCTTGAATTAGGCTTGTCAGTGATAAGCAGACTCACTAGACGCCTGACTAGACCTCTTATGCATACACCATGATGCAGTGGATTGAAGGTTCCCTAAATATGGTTTAAACCATATTTTGCTGCCACAAAACCAACTGCATGTGCATTTTTACAATCCAAGTCATTCATTACAAAGGCTGTACATGGGCAGGGTTTTCTACCTTACCTGGAAATCCTGGTGCACCTGGTTGCCCATTGAATCCAGGTGGCCCTGGGTCGCCTTGGAGACCTTGATAACCTTTCTGGCCTGATACTCCAGGAATACCTTTAAGGAAAAAGACAAACTTAATTACTGATTTTTTTATTTTTGTATCAAAGGAGCAAATTTTCTCATATATGAATAAGATGCCAAGTAAGGATTCTCTCTCATCAGGTGGAAATCTCCATATAAGCTAACCCGAGAGGCAGTACCATAAAACACAAGTCAGTGTTCATGGAAGACCCTGGATGAATATCTACAGAACAGAAACAACACAGTGTAGACAGAGGCAATACAAGCTTCCTGACATCAGCCATTGACAATATGCTTCACAGCCATACTGACAGGAAGCCCTACGTCTGCCTTGGGGCCTAGAATAGTAGATTAGGTTTGTTAATAGAATGCAATAATAGATCATTTTGATGCTCTGGTTACTCATATGAATAGTATGGGATAGGCTCAGCCTACATATTTATTCTAACCTGTGTATCTGCATTTGGGCTACTTTTACAAGTGGTTTTGACTTTACTCTTGGACTGCAAGCACTTCAAGGCAGGGATGCACAGCACCTAACACAATGGGGCCCCAAATCCTGACCAGGGCATTAGGATGCTTCTCTGATACAAATGTTACACAATAATAAGAGTTCACGAGTAAGGACACTGCAACCGACTATATGGAGCAACTCAGTCACACTCAAATAGTCACTTTAAACCTTCTCTTCAAGAGAAGAAAAAGAAGAGAGATCCCTGACCCCATCCAGTTTAAGTTTTCCTTGCAGTGAAGGACTAACTGATTATAACTGACAGGTTTCAGAATCCATCTTGGTTCATCGTCACCTGTAGGAAACAAGCCCATGTATGGAATTCCTCACCTGCAATGCCTGGCTCGCCTTTCTCTCCTTTTGATCCCAGCTTGCTTGGATCAACTTGTCCAGGGGGACCTGGCAGGCCTGTTTCACCTTTCGTGCCTTTCTGCCCTGTCAGTCCAGAAGGTCCTGGTTGACCTGGTAAACCATCACTGCCTACAGCATGTACAGACAGCAAAAGGAAAGTGTAATCCATAGGGTGGGCTAACATAAATTATGTTTCTATCACACTCTGCTATGGCTGGCCTCCAGGATCTATTCACAAGTAGTGAAATTCACTCAATGGGTGGTGAGCTCCTGCAAGGCTGTCCACACCACCTTAAGCCACGCAGGGGGCTGAGCGAGGGGCCACACATGGAATGGTTGCATAAGGGTGCCTACATGTGGGAAAGGACTGTATGCCTTGAATAGGCCAGCACAGAGGGAACAGATAGCTGTATAACAAAGCAAAGATCCAGAAGCCCCAACACATTGCACACCCGACATTAATAAATAAAAGTAATAATACCACCTCTATCCAGCGGTTACATAGCGCTTTCAATGAATAGATCTCAAAGCAGGAACAGTGTTTGAGAGTCTGCTGGCCGCGTGGTGCAGAGGGAGATTGGTGGATTTTACCTACCAAACTCACAAAATTCACCTGCATACAGCCAGATTATGTGGGCTTTATGTGGAGGAGTGAATTTCATCCATGTTGCATAAAGCCAATTCTGGAAGGCTTGACGACGCAAAGCCATCAGTCCATCTTTTACATTGTCTGAAGCAGACTTTACCAAGTATTATCTTTATCATTGTTTGCATTTCTTTAACGTCTTCAATCCAAGGATCTCAAAGATGAAACAGCTATAGCCTCAGAATGCCCCTTCCAACATGTCACATGGATAGCTTACTACTGCTTTAAACAAAGTACCTGTGAACACCAAAGTCAGAAAGATAACCCAACCCAAGCGATGAAATTCTGAACTGATTTATGCTATGTAACTCCCCACCAAAGCCAAGAATACATCAGACGCTGCTCCCAACATCTTTGAAGGATAAGCGGTGTTAAATTCTCTGCACTGAAAATAATCAGACAAATGTTACCTTTAGGACCGGGAAAGCCATCTCTGCCAGGAGTTCCAGGAGGGCCTTGTGGACCCGGAGCTCCCATCACACCCATCTCACCTTTGGCACCTAGATGCATTGAACCACCAGTGTCATTCTGAACAAAAACCCCAAAGCAATCAGTACTTAACTTTCACCTATCTTCATTCCTATGGTATTAACCTGTACATCAAAGTCAGCTAACTTGAGTAATTCTCATTTTATACCTAAAACATAAAGGGCCAGATCCAGTGAGAGGCTGAGTCCATGTAAATCCCAGTGCTTTCAATGGGTGTTACAGTGCTTAGCCCTTCTGAGGATCAGGCTCATATAGAAAAATAATTATACTTGAATGTGGCGTGGGCTTTTCCATTATTAATTCTTGCAGAGAGTGGTGTGTGTTTGTTTCTTATAAGCCATATAAATGCACTTCCTGTATAAAATATTTCACGAAGGAAAGTTATTTATTTTAAATTTAAACTGTTATTTACTGAAAGTCGTAGAGGTAATTATAAATACGCAGGCACAACTGGGGAGAATTAAACAGTCTATTTCTTGGAATATAATGGCTTTCATTGTGTGGAGTCAGATCCTTTTGCAGTAAAACAGAAATACTGAAAAATCATAGACAAGTCATCAAGTTCAGCCTCCTAGGTTGAGGCAGGACCAAGCACACTTAGAGACCATGCCTACCAGGTGCTTGTCCAAACTGTTCTTAAAAACCTCCAGGGACAGGGATTCTACAATCTCCCTTGGAAGCCTGTTCCAGAACTTAGCTACGCTTAGATAGTTAGACCATTTCCCCTCATATCTAACCCAAATCTGCAGATTAAAGCGCACTACTTCTTGTCCTAGTGGACATGGAGAACAATTGATCACTGTCCTCTTTACAACAGCCCTTACCATATTTGAAGAGCGGGGGCCCTGGGGAAGAGCCGGAGCAGGGGCTGGAGCAGCATGCAGCTGCGCAGGGCACCCGGAAATTTGCCCCAAATTTCCTGGTGCCCTACGCAGCTGCGTACTTTGAGTATGGGTAAGGACGGCCCTGCCCATATCTTACCTATTACACTTCTATTAATACAGCCCAACATGCTTTTAGCCTTTTTTGCAACTGCATCACATTGTTGACTTATATTCAATTTGTGACCCACTATAACCACCAGATCCTTTTTAGCAGTACTATTGCCTAGTCAGTTATTGCATATTTTGTATTTGTGCTTTTGATTTTTCCTTCCTAAGTGTAGTACTTTGCACTTATCTTTACTGAATTCCATCTTGTTGAATTCAGACCATTTCTCCAATTTGTCAAGGTCATTTTGAATTCTAATCCTGTTCTCCAAAGTGCTTGCAACCCCTTCCAGCTTGGAGTCATCTGCAAATTTTATAAGCATGTCCTCCACTCCATTATCCAAGTCATTAATGAAAATGTTGAATAGTACCAGACATAAGACAGGCCCCTGTGGGACTCCACTAGCTATGCTTTCCCAGTTCGATAGCAAACCATTGATAATTACCCTCACTACGATCTTTCAACCAGTTATGCACCCTCCTTATAGTAATTTCATTTAGACCACATTTTGCCAGTTTGCTTATAGACTATGTCAAATGCCTTACTAAAATAAAGATATCATATATACTGCTTCCCCCATATCCACCAGGCAAGTAACCCTGTCAAAGGAGGAAATTAAGTTGGTTTGGCATGATTTGTTCTAGACAAATCCATGTAAGCGATTACTACTAGGGCTATGATTTTATCGCAGTAATTTTTAATTAATTTCACAGCAGAGGTACAGGAAAACCACCGTGTGGGATGGAAAGAGGGGAGAATAGGGACATGTGCGTGCGTGGGTGAAGCGAGGGTTGGAGAACGAACACATATAACTTAGAGAATTTTTCACTTGACCACAGCTCAAAGAGCCGAGAAGCGATTACACTCACTGCACAGCAGCTCCTGGCTGGACGGGCTGGGCCTGGCTCCCAGCTTCAGCATGGAGACCTGGCCCACATGGTCACAGCGCCTCTCAGGTTTGGAGAGTCTGCCCCTCCATAGACCGAGATGGAGGGGCAGACGTGCGAAACCTGAGTGGTGCTGTGATCATGTTGGCCAGCTGCAGGTACTATGTTTGCTCTTCTCCAGTCCTCTAGGGCCTCACCCATCCTTCACAAGTTCATGGTTCCGAGATTGTTTCAGCTAGTTACTTAAGTATTCTAGGGTGAATTTCATCAGGCCCTGTCAACGTGAGTATACCTAATTTACCTAAATAATCTTGAATCCCTTTAATAATGATGCATACCTACGTACCTACCAAACTTCACACTCAAAATATGACCTCAAAGCAGATTTAAACATCTCTATAACATTACAATGTAAAGAAAGGTGATACACATGGTTTTAGGGTGGGATTTGCAAAAGTGCTCAGCATTTGCTTACCTGCTGACACTGAAGTGAACGGGAGTTTTAGCACTGACTTTAATAGTAGTAGAGTTAGGCCTGAGTGCTATTAGTGCTAACTCCCACCTATAATGCTTAGACTGTAATACACAGTGACTGCTGCAAAGCCCTGCACTAGGAGGGGATGGATAGACAATGGATATTACAATTAGAGAGAGGCTCCCTCACCAAAATAGCCACGGATCCAATCTCCCTCCAAAATTCCTAGGGGACTCGGAAATGTGCATCCAATATTAGAGACACGGATTTGTCCCTAATTCAGATTTATTGCAATGAAGGATCTCATGGGTGCCCATGAATAAACTGCTTTTCAGTCGTCAGCAAGGTATAGTAAGCAAGCCCAAGTTCAATGACATTTCTCACTAAGGCTGATAGCATGCCCAAACAGTGGGGAACACACACCTGTAGGCACATACAGCCCTCTGTATATGCCTACAGGTAACAATGCTCTTCTGGCATGTTTGAACTTACCTGGAAATCCTGATATTCCATCTCGTCCTGGTGGTCCTGGTGAACCTGGAGGCCCAGTGAGACCTGGTGTTCCTGGAAATCCTGGACTGCCTCTGTCACCAGGTGGACCAGGGATGTCGAATCCAGGAGGGCCAGGATCTCCTTTCTCACCTGGAACTCCTTGTAATCCTAGACATTATTAAAACACCATCCTTTAGCAAGAAATCGGGCATGGTTGAGGTTTGTGTGTGTGTGTGTGTGTGTGTGTGTGTGTGTTTGGGGATGGCAGTAATGGTGGAATAGCTGCTCTTTACTGGCAGCACATTGCAATAATACCTTGAAGGAACCCCCACAATGTTTTGACTTCCAAAGCCCTGATCCTGCAATGGGATCCAAGCAGGCAGACTTAATTCATTTCAGTGGGGCTCTGTGCAGGCTCAGGGGTCACATACATATGAGCTTGCAGGATTGGGGTCCAATTGCCCTGCTGCAAAACTAGCGTATTAAAGTCTACATTTTTCAGAAGGCGGTGCTAAAAGTTTGTCAGCAGCCTAGTACATATAACCCTTGGTGACCCCGTATTTCGTTTATGGTGTTTATTCAATTGCGTGACTAAAGTAGGAGTTAAAGACTATATTCTTCTCACAAATTAACTGTGCAGAAGATTAAATTTCCCACAACTTGATCAATAAAATGGGCAAATGCTACAGGAAAAAAAAAATTACGTGCTCTTTTTAATATCAGGATGACTACTTATTTTAACAAAGTCTTGTTTGTATTTCATGGTTCAGCCTAATAATTCCTATATACAGCACAAATGCGAAATCCTGGCTTCAGGTTAAATGAAATCCCAGTTGAATTGCATCGGGGAGGCCCACACTATTAGGTTACAAGATAACCTCAAATGGGCATTTATTTTCAAAGGACAGCCAAGTTCTGTGTTTCATTAGGTTTGTCTAAATTAAAAATGTGCCTCAATGAGAACTGTTTAAAAACCAAAAACAACATTGCTTAATATTAGTGAGACTGAGCCAAAGGCACCAGTCATAGTAGGGAGGCACAGCTCCACTCCCTTCAATGGGATTGCACCTGTTGAGTTAAGTGGTGACTTTCACTCTTGAAATGTAGTTTAAGTAAACTAATAATCTTAATTTAAGACAAAAAGAAGAAGGCTTTGGTGAAGAAATCACAGTACCTGGTGGACCTGAGGTTCAAAACCCAGCGAGTTAGCATTCATCAGGAAGTTGAGGCACAGGGAAAAGTAGTGAGTTGCAAGAGAGTCATTAGGTTAGGAAACAAAATTAAGCACATAAAGATTAGAACAAAAATCTATATTAAAGTTACTGAGCATAGGTCTAACTACAAAGGATACAACAGTATTACAGCTACAAGAAACTGGTTTGTAAGTAAATTTCATTATAGGCATTTTTCAACAGCAGCCACCATTCTACACAGAGAGAAGTAACTGACTGAAAGTTTTTTAAATACTACAGTGCAATCTTTCAAAAAAACAAAACAAAATGTTGGACTGTGTTCCTGTCTCCTAACCTAGCAAGCTTTTGGAAATGGTCCAAGATCTCCTCTCAAGCCATCTTTTCACACTGCCTGCACCAACACAGCCATTTGATGCTGGCCTGTTCATCTCACTGACACCTGTGCATGTCCTACTGGGTGGTTGATATTTTGCTGTTCAGCACCATCTGTCTGGAGATCCCTCCAAAAGGGATTTTTCAAAGATGCTTCCACTTTATAAAGAAAAACTGAATCCCTTATTGGGAATGCTTAGCTGCCTATTGCTGTTGCAGACTGTTACTATATTGATGGCTCTTTATAAAGCTCCTGGAGAGCTTAGTAAGATGTGGTGCTACATGAATTATTTTTCTGTTGTGTATTATAGTATATAAAATAATATTTTCCCCATTGTCTCAAGTTTGTTTGAAGACAATACAATGCACTAGTTAGGAGCCCCTTCTGTAATCTCTCTTATGGAGACTATTTTGACACATTCAGTGTCAGGAACAATAAAGAATAAGGAGTGTAGGACAGCCCAATGCTGCAGCAGATAGTGCTTTGCGCTGCCCACTGTAGGAACAAAGATTCAAGAGTGATTTAGAGACTCTCACTCTACAGCAGGGGTCTCAAAGTCCCAGCCCGCAGGCCATCTGCGGCCCAAGAACCTCCTCAATGTAGCCCGCGGGGCTCCAGCAATTTGGGGGTCTCTCCCTTGGCCCTGCCTGCCGGCCCTGGGCGCTGCCCCCCGGGCGATTTAAAATGGCCCGGGACCCCGCCCATCACCCACAGTGCAGCGTAGCTGAGCGGCTTCTTGCGCACTCACTCCATGTGTCTGCCGGCCCCTCCCTGCGGCCCCGGGGCGGGGCTGTGCCTCCGCACACTACCCCGGCCCCGAGCGCCCCTGCAGCCAATGGGAAGCTGCGGGGGCGGTGCCTGGGGGCAGCCGCGCATGGAGGCTCCCTGGCCTACCCCGCCTTGGAGCCCCAGGTAAGTGCCGCACCCCCCCGACCCCCTCCCAGAGCCTGTACCCCCACGCCCTCCCCACATACCCTCTCCCACCACCAAACTCCCTCCCAGAGCCTGCACCCCCCTCCACACAAACCCCCAGCCCCCAAACTCCCTCCCAGAGCCTGCACCCCCTCCCCCTTCCCACACCCTCCCAGCCCCCAAACTCCCTCCCAGAGCCTGCACCCCCTCCCTCTGCACCCCCTCCCAGAGCCTGCAACCCCACCCCCTCCTCCTGCATCCCTCCCCACACACCCCCTCCCACCCCCAAACTTCCTCCCAGAGACTGCACCCTTCCCCCCTCCTCTGTCCCAGAGCCTGCAACCCCACCCACTCCTGCACCCCACTCCTCCTGCACCCCATCCCTTGCACCAGGCCAGAGCCTGCACCCAGCACCCAAACTCTCTCCCAGAGCCATAGGCAGGTGGGGGGAGGAGTTTGGAGGGGCAGGTTCTGGGCGGCATGAGTGACATTAATGGCCTGCTGGGAGGATTTGAGGACTGGCACTGGCCTTAAGGTAAACTGAGTTTGAGACTCCTGCTCTACAGACTAGAGGTAAATCAGACATCTTCAACTCACAAAGAAAAATGTGCCTATCTGCTTGCACTGCTCAATTACTCTTTGGTTCCTACCATAACAAACATAATAAATTATATAAATATATATAATAAATTAGAGTGTTGTGAGTGGAATTGTTCCCCTGGTAGGGGAAAAACAAAGCCCCAGAAGGTATGGCTCATGCTCCAATGTCTATGGGGACTCCATCAGCAAACAAAATAAACTATGAAGGTAGTATAGAACCTGGTAAAAGGACAAATACTTTCAATATTTCTTGATAGGTGAACATGGAGTAAAATCAACATGTGTTTGAATCTGTGATAACATTCCCATTTTGTTATCTCTTCTGCTTCTCAAATGTGTTTGACTGGATCAGAATTGTAGTAAAATAGGCTACCGAATAAACACTGGAGTAGCTCGTTTGGTAAAAACAAAATATACAGACACTGCAAACTGTTTGAATAAATGGTGGTGCATAGAAAAGAAAATCTGAACAAAGAAATACTTAAGATTGTTCCAATTGCCCTGAAAAACAGAATCCCAAGAAAGTGAATCTATATAATGAAAAGGAGTAGAGTCTGTTCTGACTCAGTGGGAAACAGGAATGAGTGATGGGGGAGGCAACATGCACACTGCACCAGACAAGTAGCAGCACCTAAAGCAGGGGTCGGCAACCTTTGAGAAGTGGCGTGCCAAGTCTTCAGTAATTTAAGGTTTCGCGTGCCAAAATAAATTTTACATTTACAGAGGCCCCCCCAACAGAACCCTACACCGGCAGCTGGCTGAGCGGAGCAGGCGGACCGAACCCTCAGACTGGTGGCGGGCTGAGCGGCTCAGCCAGCTACCGGTCTGGAGTTCCGGCCGCCGGCTCCTGCCAGCCGGGGTCCTGGCCGTCGGCCCCGCTCAGCCCGCTGCCGGCCTAGGATTCCGTTCACCCACGCAGGCAGGGGGCTGAGCGGGGCCGGCGGACGGGACCCCGGCTGGCAGCAGCGTGCCAGTAAAAATTGGCTTGCGTGCCGCGGGTTGCCGACCCCTAACCTATAGGATTAAAGTAGGTGGTTTACTTAAAGCCTCAGTCATGCACTACGTTTCATGCACTACATTTCAATGTTGTCATGCTGTTAGTAGCCACAGTGATCTTTAACACAGATCTACAATGAAAAATTAGCCATACCGATCCATTGAGACAGGTATATGTGTTTTACTTGGGAAAAGAAATGCTTTGTGGTCTAAGAGCTAATCAGCAACCACATGGAGTCAAACTCTGCCTAGCACCTGGAAACAGGTATAATGGACACCCAAAGACACGCCTTTCACACACTTAAAAAGCAGTGTTGCTCTGTGTGTCTAACAACCCCCCTACTACAGCCAGGCATAGTCTGTGCCATGGGGGCATGTAGAGAGGTCACTGATGGGTCAGGGAGCCAATACATAGGTCATTCAGATCACTTCCATCCCCAACACCGGGCACTGAAACCAGGTTGCAGGCAGAGGACCTGCAGATCAGCTTCCCTGCGTGAGCAAGGTGCTTAAGCATATGCCAGACTTTAAGCATATGAGCAATCCCTTTGAAGTCAGTGGGACTATTGAAACACTTAAAGCTAGGTATATGCTCAGGTACCTCTGCCCCTTGCTCCTCTGCTGGCCATGGGTTTTCTGCCATGCACTATCTATAATGCCAGCCCAAATTTTGGCTCTTCACTTAGGGTGGCTATCACTAAAACAAATCAGAAGTTTAGGATAGTGGTCATGCAGTAGCAGTATCTAGACGTGTACAGCAAAGACTAGGTATATTTTTAAAACATTTCAGCATTAACATAAAGTTGTTCTCTAGTTCATACAGCACATTCTCACTATGGTAATTGCTGTGCATTTGCAGTCACAGGGTTAGGGAAGTGGAAATCCCATTCAGTGAAAGTAATGTAGAAAAACCGCTCTCAAAAATAAAATACTTTGTGAACAGAAATTTAATCCCCTTCTCCCTCCCCCGCCCCACCCCGTATATAGCGTTGGAACTAGGAAATCCTTTTATAAAAATTAAGTAATTTTAAATACAAGATTACCAAAATGCCCTTTGCTAGAGACATGCTCCCCATTAGTACTATGGACAGACTCCTAGTTTGGTAATTTAACCTGGACCCAACAAGGAGTCCCAGAACTTCCCAACTTTGCTTAATGAAGAGCATGATGGAAATGGCTGTCCTGGAAGTCACAAACTATCATTAACTGAATTAAAATTAACAAATGTTTTTTTCCAGTTGTGCATTTATAAAGTGAATGTATATGGCCCTTTCTTCTGGTAGTTTCTTGTTCATACAATAGACTACTAGTGCTTGCAGTGTTCTTTTTCTACCTGATGCAGAAATGGACCAACCACTCTGAAATACCTAGGATCAAAGCCATTTTTCAGCTGATTTAGGCCATACTTCAATGCCTATTGAAGTGAATGGAAAGACTTCCCACTGACTTCAGTTGGCACTGGATCACGCTTTGAATGTCTACCTATGGACCTTAATGGAAGTAGTGTGAGGAACAGTATTGTTACATAGGGTCTTTTTTTTGTTTGTTTGTTTGCTTCTGGTCAAGGCACAAAATGTCAAATTTATAAATGTTGGATTACAATAAAATTGAAGTTATTTAAAAATGGGTCTTGCCAACTGAATATAAAGTGTTGAGTTGGTTAAACTGCTTCAATAGTTAAGGATTGTCTTGATACTTAATCATGTAGGTCAATTTATTTCACTTAAGGGACATGAAATAATTTCCAGTACATAGTCTGTGCACACTTGAGTAACAAAGACATTATTTTGGTTGGCAGAATAATGTAACCTTAAGGTCCATAAAAGTACCACATTTTCAATATTATGTTGGCTCTGAGAGAACTATTTCCTTTAACATTATGGGCCTGATCCTGTGAGGTGCAGAGCACCCTCAACAGCACCCATTGACTTCAATACCAGTTGACAGCACACTGTATCTCCAGAATTGGGCATCATGTCATTTGTCTTTTTAAAGACAGCATAGCAATGAAGGCGTATTATCTACCCTCTCAGTAACCCAGAAGTGCTAGATTAACATGCCACTCCCCTCTGCCAAGGACAGGAGCTTCTTGGGCTGCATTAACAAACGTGATGAGCCAAATTTTTCCCAGTTGTCCATCACTGTGCAACCCTCAGTGCCTTCTGTGGGTTTGTATGGGACAGAATATAAAGGCAGAACTTGGCCCATGTTCTGTCCAAACTGAGAGTCATGAAGTCTCCGGCCCTCCCTTCCTATTTGTTGTTTACTGGCACTTTTGTACACACCCTGAGCTGGTGTGCCTAACATGTCAGCAATAACTCCAAAGTTATAATCACTCAACTCTTACCTGGTGGGCCCACAGGTCCCGAAGGGCCAGGTTGTCCCGGTGGACCTTGACCACCAATTCCCGGGAACCCTGGGGGTCCCACTAACCCAGGTGGTCCGCTTGGTCCAGGGTCACCTTAAAGGAAATTCTAATTTAGTTCAACAGTGAGGAATCTCAGGGTTTTCACATTCATTTTCAGAAGTCATCTATGAAGTGTCTACACATTGTTCACTGGAATTTGGTCCCTGCACACATGCAAGTGGAAGTTAGGTGTGCAAATACCCACTGTCCATGTAATTTCAGAGGCCACTTTTGAACGATGGTCCAAAGACTTGTTACTGTGCCATAGTACACTAGTCTATATACCTGTTCACAAATACCTTTGCTATACACCAAACCAGAGATATATTGCAATACAGTGCAGACAATTGCTAATGCCAGAAGTTCATAAATAATTAAAGTAGCTTATGTGAGAATAAAGTGCATCAAATTGGTAAATGTAACGTAAGAATAGCTGCCCTGGGTCATATCAATGGTCCATCTAGCTCAGTATCCTGTTTCTGACAGTGGCCAGTGACAGATGCTTCAGAGGAAATGAATAGAACAGGGCAATTTTGAGTGATACATCCCCTGTCATCTGGTTCTAGCTTCTGTCAGTTGGAGGTTTAGGGACACCCAAAGCATGGGGTTGCATTCTTGATCATCTTGGCTAATAGCCAGTGATGGACTTATGCTCCATTAACTTATCAAATTCTTTTTTGAACTCAGTTATACTTTTGGCCTTCACAACATCCCACGGCAACAAGTTCCAAGGATTAACTGTGCACTGTATGAAGTACTTCCTTATGTTTGTTTTAAACCTGCTGCCTATTAATTTTGATGGGTGACCCCTATTCTTGTGCTATGAGAAGCGGTAAATAACACTTCCCCATTCACTTTCTCCATAGCTTTCATGATTTTATAGACATCTATCATATCTGCTCTTCATTATCTCTTTTCTAAGCTCAACAGTGCCAGTCTTTTTAATCTCTCCTTGCACAGAAACTGTTCCATACCCCTAACCATTTTTATTGCCCTTCTCTGTACCTTTTCCAATTCTAATATATCTTTTTTGTGATGCACACAGCATTCAAGGTGTGGGCGTACCATGGATTTATATAGTGACATCATGATATTTTCTGTCTTATTATCTATTCCTTTCCTAACGGTTCCTAACATTGTTAGCTTTTTTTTTTTTTAACTGCCACTGCACATTGAGTGGATGTTTTCAAGTGCTTTGTAGGATAGGGTTAAATTTCAAAATGATCTGGACAAACTGGAGAAATGGTCTGAAGTAAACAGAATGAAATTCAACAAGGACAAATGGAAAGTACTCCACTTAGGAAGGAATAATCAGTTGAACACATACAAAATGGAAAATGACTGCTTAGGAAGGAATACTGTGGAAAAGGATCTGGGGATCATAGTGGATCACAAGCTAACTACAAGTCAACAGTGTAATAATATTGCAAAAAAAAAAAAAAGCAAGCATCATTCTGGGATCTATTAGCAGGAGTATTGTAAGCAAGACACAAGAAGTAATTCTTCCGCTCTACTCCACACTGATTAGGCCTCAACTGGAGTATTGTGTCCAATTCTGGGTGCCACATTTCAGGAAGGATGTGGACAAATAGGAGAAAGTCCAGAGAAGAGCAACAAAAATGATTAAAGGTCTAGAAAGCATGACCTATGAGGGAAGATTGAAAAAATTGGGTTTGTTTAGTCTGGAGAAGAGAAGACTAATGGGGGACATGATAATAGTTTTCAAGTACATAAAACGTTGTTACAAGGAAGAGGGAGAAAAATTATTCTCCTTAACCTCTGAGGATAGGACAAGAAACAGTGGGCTTCAATTGCAGCAAGGGTTGTTTAGGTTGGACATTAGGAAAAACTTTCTGTCAGGGTGGTTAAGCACTGGAATAAATTGCCTAGGGAGGTTGTGGAATCTCCATCATTGGAGATTTTAAGAGCTGGTTAGACAAACACCTGTCAGGGATGGTGCAGAATAGATAATACTTAGTCCTGCCATGAGTGCAGGGGACTGGACTAGAGACCTCTTGAGGTCCCTTCCAGTACTCTGATTCTATGATGACTCTACGATCTCTTTCTTGAGTGCTAACAGCTAAGTTAGCCCCCATCATTTTATATGTATAATTGGGATTATTTTTCCAATATGCATTACTTTGCCCCATTAACAATAAATTTCATCTGTCATTTTCTTGCCCAGACACCTAGTTCTGTGAGATCTCTTTGCAACTCTTCACAGTGAGTGTTGGACTTATCTTGAGTAATTTTATATTTGTGTGTAAATTTTGCCACCTCCTGTGTACCCCTTTATCCAGATCGTTTATAAATATGCTGAACAGCACAGATCCTTGAGAGACCCCGCTATTTAACTCTCTCCATTGTGAAAACTGACCATTTATTCCTATCCTTTGCTTCCTGTCTTTTAACCAGTTACAGATCCATGAGAGGACCCTCGCTTTTATCCTATGACTGCTTACTTTTCTTAAGAGTCTTTGGTGAGGGACTTTGTCAAAGGCTTTCTGAAAGGCCAAGCACACTACACCAACTGGATCACACTTGTCTACATGCTTGTTGATATACTCAAAGAATTCAAATAGATTGGAGAGATGTGATTTTCCCTTTACAAAAACCATGTTGACTCTTCCCCAGCAGATAATGTTTATCTATCTGTCTGATCATTCTGTTCTATGCTATAGTTTCAGCCAAATTGTCTGATACTGAAGTTAGGCTTACTGGCCTGTAATTGCTGGGATCAACTCTGGAGCCTTTTTAAACAATAAGCATTACATTAGCTACCCTCCAGTCATCTGGCACACAAGCTGATTTAAGCGATAGGTTACACATCACAGTTAGTAGTTCTGCAATTTCCTTCAGAACTCTTGGAAGAATACCTCAGGTCCAGGTGACTTATTACTGTTTATTTTATCAGTTTGTTCCAAAACTCCTTTACAGACACCTCAATCTGGGAGAGTGCCTCAGATCTGTCACCTAAAAAGAATTGCTTGGGTGTGGAGATGTCACCCATATCTTCTGCAGCGAAGACCAATGCAAAGAATTCATTTTGTTTCTCCTTGTCTTCTCTGAGTGTTCCTTTAGCACCCCGATTGTTCAGTGGCCCCACTGATTGTTTGGCTGGCTTCCTGCTTCTGATTACTTACATTTTTTTTGCTCTGTTAGTTTTTGTGTCCTTAGCAAGTTGCTTTTCACATTCTTTCTTGACCTGCCTACTTATACTTTTCAGCTGACTTGCCAGAGTATATGCTCCTTTCTATTTTCCTCACTAGGATTTGACTTCCAATTTTTAAAGGATGCATTTTTGCCACTAATCATCTCTTTTACTCTGCTGTTTAGCCATGTGGCATTTTTTGGTCCTCCTACTGTTTTTTTTTTTTAAACTTTGGCTATACATTTAGTTTGAGCCTCTATTATGGCATTTTGAAATAGCTCCACACCGTTTTCAGGCATTTCAACCCGTGACTGTTCCTTTTAATGTCCATTTAACTAGCTTCCTCATTTTTGTGTCGTTTCCCTTTTGACTTTAAATGCCTACTGTGGTAGGTAAACAAGTGGCTCCATTTAAGTATGGCATCCTCACCAGTTGGGATTTGTCTCTATCAGCTAGAGGCCAGATTTTCAAACATACAAAAATGTGCATGCACTTCGGTCTGCCTGGGGACACAAACCTCAGTTTGCCATGTGCATTTAGACAGGCACAGTCCATATGCATACCAAGAGGCTTTGCACTTTGGAAAAACCAGCCCCAATGTAAGCAGTCTCAGGGCCAGATTTTTAAAGGTATTTAGGTGCCTAACTCCCACTGAAATAATTACAGTGGGAATTAGGCACCTAAATACTTTAAAAAATCTGGCCCTAAGTAACTGTCACAAAATAACAGGCTGATTTTCAGTGATTAAGAGTCATATAGCGTTCAACAGAAGATAATGAAGGGTTCTCTATACCTTTTGGCCCAGGAGTTCCATCTGAACCTGACCGCCCCGGCAAACCAGGGTTTCCTGGGAAGCCAGGATCACCTTTCAGTCCCTGAGCTCCTTTAAAACCCGGTGGCCCTGGTGGCCCAGGTGGTCCTGGGACACCAAATCCAGGGTCCCCCTATGATGTAAGGAAAAAAGAAATGGGTTTCGCAGGTTAGCTCTTTCTGATAATGTTTAAAGTAGCAAAGGGGAAAAACATTCCCCCCTCCCCTCCAGCCCCCAAAAGCCATGAGGTTAAAAAAAAAAAAAAAGACTCCCAAAATATTTACAGCCACACAGCTCAGGCAAATCATTCTGGGAAAGATTAGGCAACATTAGTCACCTGACAGAAAAGGGGGATTTCTGATATTACAGCAAAATCCCTGTCACCCATCTAGTAACAGAACATACTCCTGGAGGGTTACACTCCAGTCCTCCAACACCATACAAACACGACCAGCCTCTGGGAGGGAGTGCGCAATAAGGAGGGAAGGGCCACCTGGCATGGACGGTGTGGAGGGCCAGTTCACATCACACCTAGAGGCTACAGGAACGGCTCTAGTACTGCAGCTGTAAAGTGTCCAGGAAGGGAAAGGGTAAAACGGGGCACCTCTCAGGAAACATGGCCCGAATCATACCCGAAGTTCTTTTCTTAGGGTCAGGGGAACCTTCTTGTACAAGCCCTTGGTTGGGAGTGTAGCCACCCTGACTGCAGTCTCATGAAACAAATCTATTAAACTTTGTCAGCCCCTAGCTGCAAGAGTAACTGGTAGCAGAACACCATTTGCTGTGCTCATGAAGGACCATTTTTGTTGATTAGTTAGTGTCTTCACTCAAATTCGGAAGAGCCTTAAGGGATTAAATGAAAGTATCTCCCTACTTTTCAGCTGCATCCATTCCAGGGGTAGGGACAAACGCTGGTGGGTAGGAAGAAGGGACACGTTTTCAGTAAAGTTGACCATTCCACCCCCACCCCATCACCAGTTTAAGGTGGACAGCTACACAGAGCATCCTATCCGAGCCTGCCCTATGACGTTCAACTCTGGTCCTACACATCAGGAGACTCTGCACTGTAGGTGTTAGAGCAGACTCTGCAAGGCAATGCAGCTGGACACACAGCACTGGGGACAGCAGCTACTGACTAAGAAAAGATAAATGACTTGATAGGTCCTTTGACTTGAGAGAGGTGAGGGCTGCTTACAGATGCAGACCCCTCCCAACCAAAGAAGAGACTTTACAATGGCACAGTTGAAGAGACAAACTTCAATCTTAAACCACAGCCCATTAGCAGAGAGATTGATATTTTCAGACCTTTTGACCTGGGAAACCAGATTGTCCTGGTCGCCCTTCGAGCCCTGGTCGTCCAGGGGCTCCTGGTGCTCCTGGGGGGCCAGCCATTCCTGGGAAACCTACAACCCAACGAGGAGGTTAGGATAAGAACTGAGGTAAGGCAACAAACAAGTGTCAGTACATTTCAGGAAGATTTGGCAGCCATTGTGTAAGTGTTCTTTTAAAAGAGGCCTCTTAGGTCTGGTTGGCTCAAAATGCACGATTGCACCAAAGCACCCCAGTTCAGTTTAGACAGCTATGTGCATAATGCACTGTATATCAATCTGGACCACTACATCACAGTCCTAGGATACCTCTCAAATCACCCCTTCTTATGAAGGATGTTCCTCATTTTAAGTATTCTCATTGTGGCTGCAAATTATTTACATCAGAAACATGGAATCAGGCGACTGATTGTGGAGATTATGTTATTTATGCTATATACTGCTTGAACTGTCGTCTTCTGCAATGTCTAAAATCTCTTCTGTTTGGTTTTAACCCCAAGGATGGTTGAAAAGCCTAAGCTTCCACAAAAGTGCAGGAGAACAGACATGAAGGACCACAGCTAAACTGAGGTTTTCCAGTGCTTTTAACAGTGGCATACAACGTAGGTAGGCATTTTTAAAGACTTTGGAGATTTAAGAATGCAACTACCCGCGCAAGCTAAGAAAAAAAGATTAAACCTGAAAAATAACACTGCCCAAAGCCAGTATAATTCACTCCTCCAAAGATGTGGTAGCAAGTATACCTTTTGGGCCTGGTGGGCCTGGAAGTCCAATGCCAGGTATACCTGGATCACCCTTAGGACCTGAGATGCCTGGCAAGCCAGGCTGACCTGGCAGACCAGGATCACCTGCAGAGGAAAATCATTTTTAATTAGCAAAAGCTAGTCAGGGTGAAAACTCAGAGGGTTACCTGGAAGTCTAGTTATGCTCTTACCTGGAAGTCCTACTTCACCATTTCTTCCTGGAGGTCCAGGGGAGCCTGGAACTCCTGGTTCTGTAATAGTTTCACCAGGTTCACCTTTCGGACCTAAGAGTGGATAGGATACAGACACATCATTCTACAGCGTACAGATTCTATACATAAGGAGAGAGATCCTTAGTCATCTACACATAGATGGGGTAGATTCAACACTGTTACTCCAATTTTACACTGTTGCAATAGCACTGAAATCAGTGAATCAGGTCCAATCTAAATACAAGTGTGGTTTTTCTGACCTTATACCAAAAGTTAAACACTCACGTTCTCTTGAAGACTTTTCTCTTTCAGACCTCACCTTATTGAGCCCCACTGTGCCCCATTTCACAGGCTCAGAAGCATTTCTTGCCATATGTGAATTATAAATTGTTCTTCAAAGAAGTCATGAAGTCTGACATTTCTAAGCACCCTGCTGGTGATCATCATCTTAATAAAAAGTTACATCATTTACCACAGCATGGGGTTTAGCAGGGTGCATTTAGACTGCAGAGGTAGTTCCAGTTTTACAGCAAGTTGGTTTACAGTCTTTGGACTTCAGTACTGTTGAAGAGAGGGCAATTTGTGACAACCTCGTGGCTACTGGCAGGGAAGCTCACAAATGCCAGGATTAATTACTGCTTTCAGGTACAATTTTAAAAGCCTTCATGCTTGTCCCTGCCCAATGATCTGGAAGCAGTGCTGAGCCAAATGGGTACAACTTGCTGTTATTGCTCAGTAACATATGAAAATACACCCACCTGGAACTCCTGGGGGACCTGGACGACCCGATACACCTTGAATGCCTTTTTCACCTAGAGGACCTTGTGGGCCAAAACCAGGAGGTCCCATAGGTCCTCTGTCTCCAGGAAGACCTGGCACTCCTGGATCACCCGGAGGTCCCATTCCTCCTTTGAAAGCAACACCACCCTGAACAGGAGGGTGGGGGAGAAGAGCAATCATTTGCTTTAGAACAGATTTAAGAGTTTAGTTTTAAAGCTAGTGAAACAATTATTTTTGTTTAGAATTTCTGTGTTAATTATTATTCCTCCCAACCCCAGGCTGGTAGCTGTCTGGCATGTTATCATCATGCTGGAGACCAGGTTCGACTCTTGGTCCTTGTATCTTGCTACCCCAGCTGCAGGTTAATGAAGTGCCATGTGGGAAGGACAGTGAGCATTGGCACTGTATATTGTTCAACAGCAGTCCCGCTACTCATTTAGAAAGAGGGACTGACAGATAATCAATGGCGACCCATTCTGCCACCCTCATGCAGCACAAAGCAGAGCTTGAAAGGGAAAGGGCAAAAATAGAATAACTGTCAGGGCTGAGGATGGGCAGCTTTTATACCAGACAGATTATTTCATTAAGCCACACTTATGCTTAGGGGAAAGTGGATTTTCACATCCCCTTCTCTGTACTTTTCTGAATGCATTCACAACATTCCTAAGACCTTGTTCATCCATGTATAAAACCCAACTTACAGGTTCCCCCTTGGGTCCAGGAAGACCTGGCAGTCCTTCTCGTCCAGGAGAGCCATCTATGCCAGGAAGACCAGGAGATCCTGGGAAACCAGTGTCCCCTTTGTCACCTTTCAGGCCTGGGAAAGCTAGGCTGTCCCCGGGGTCCCCTTTAGAACCAGGAAGCCCAAGGGCACCTGGAGGTCCTGGAAATCCCTAAGGAAAGAAAAGTAAGCATTTTAGGTTTTTCCTCTCTCTCCTTGCTAAATGCTGCAATTTTATGACAATAGGTTCATGGTAATTAGAGATGGAAAAGGACTGTTGAATAGGAATTTTTCCCTGTGCAAATGAAAGGACATGTAGTTAATAGTAAATTGATATTATGCTTAAGATAAATTAGATTCAATTCCCCCCATGAAACATACTAACAACACTTACTGGTGGCCCGACCAGCCCGGTTAAGCCAGTTAGCCCTTTTTCACCTTTTGGTCCCGGGAAACCAGGAGACCCTGATTAAATAAAAGAATGCAAGATGTAGGCATTGGGAATATCTGGCACTTAGTTTGACGTACATACTTGCCAACGCTGAGGCAGCAGGAGAAATCTCTTAGAGCAGGCAAGATTTAGACAGGGGTAAAATTTTCAAAGCTTCCAATGTGACTCAGGCTCCTAAATCCAATTTTCAAAATATTTAGCACTTAAATGCCTGCATCTCATTGAAAGTCAATGGGACCCAGACTCTTAAGTGCCAAAGTCACCCGGGCACTTTTGAAAACGTTACCTTAGACCTTACATTATTTTGAAGTCACCACAATTTTGTGAAATGATGATGAGATCCTTATCCCACCACCAACTACTCTAATATTGAGGATGACTCTACAATACATCAGTGTAGTCTAGTAGATAAAGCCATAGATATTACTCTCTCAAAAACTGCTGTATAGATTACCTGTCCTATTAAAACCCGTTGGGCCAAATTAATCCCTAGCATATGTAATTGTGGCTCCACTGATGTCATTGAAATTGCAAAGGCTAACTTAAACCAAGACCAAATTCAGCCCACTGTTTTGGACAGCTTGATCTTAGGTGAATAAAACAACTTTGTAACTAGAAGTTTATGTCAATGATGTTGAAAGAGCTCACCCCTCCAGTAATCTCTGAACTGGTTCTTTGTCTCTTTTGAAACAGGAAGGAGTTGAAATTCATTTCCCTTCCAGTATCAGGGGGTAGCTGTGTTAGTCTGTATCTACAAAAACAACAAGGAGTCTGGTGGCACCTTAAAGACTAACAGATTTATTTGGGC